CCATACTTATGAAATCCTTCGAAACTTACACCCAATATTTGTTGTTTATCGACTAATTTAAATAATCCCTCTAAATATAATTGACGATATCTTGAATTTGAACCACCAACTAATGACACAATCATATTTTGTTTTTTTTGTATTTTTCCAAAAAGTCTCAATGTTCTTTCACGATCTTTTCGATAACGTTTCTCTGTACTATCATCAAATGTATCACCATCAAACATACTTTGATATACAGTTGGTTTAATTAAATCAATATAAGTATTAAAACGATCAATATTCACTTCTTTTCGTCCGGATTTAGTCCACACAGATGTATACAGATTACCATTACAACCAGATCGTAATTCAAGTAACGGATCATGTAATGGGGTATAAAAGCCATACGGAAGATTGGAATATTGTGCATAACCACCATTGGACGGATAAGATTCTAAATTGGTTATTGATTCCAATATAGTACTAAGAGGCAGTTCAATTAATTTAGTAACATTATCGGGTAATTGATCATTGACTAAATGAGGTACGACACCAGATCGAGTGTAAAGCATTGATGTAGGCGTTTCAATTTTAACGACATCATTCACTGCATTAAAAACAAATTCACCAAGACGAGCTGCTGATGAATTATTTAGAGGAAATGTTTTAAATGTAGCCATCTAAAACAAAATTGACTCTCTCGTGACAACTCAGAAACTATTTGACAATTGAACATGTGTTTGTACATGCATTCAACTTTTTCTTTACAAAACTACTGTTTTCAAGCAAAGTCTACAAAATGTGTCTGTACAATACTTTTAACTACCATGGGTCGAAAAATTATTCGTCCATCCCTATAGTATCATATTCTTTCGTTTCCAATTTGAAAATCATATATACTAGAGAGTTGCCGTTTTCACCATCGTACAAAGCGCATTATCTTGTCCATATGTAGATATTATCACCATTTAATTCCGTTTTGTTTTTGTTTTATACAAAAACTACTGAATTTATCTGATTTTCCTTCAGTGAAAAATTATTCATTTTCGAATCAAAATTGATATCAACGAAAGATTTTTATTTGTTTTATGAGTCTGCCTTAAAACAAATACGCCGGAGTGAAAAACTCCGTTGAGTCGTAAAAAAAGATTTCTTAGGCGAAAAAATACTATTAGTCCGGTTCCCTTGGGATGCTAAGGCGATGGAATTTATTTTCCAAATACTAAGTCAGATTTTGGCATGAACTGAGTTGAAGGGATCGAGACACATTGAAATGTGTACATTGGATAGTATTTTGAGCACATTCAAGCTTATTAAAGATTGAAAAAGACGAAACACCGGCTCCCTCTTCCTCAATGTTTGTTAAATACTACAAATTCGAAAGCTGTTTTGTGTGAAAAATTCAAATTAAGCTCATCAACGAATAGAACACATCAAACTGTACTAGAAAATATCGAATAGACAAAAGCAGAACTCATTTCTGTGGAGTTAAAAGAGCTAGAACTAGTCATCCTGTTTTAAGTCAGTGAACAAATCACTAACTTGAAACAGGCGCCAAATGAATAAACTGACGCTAAACCAGTAAAATTATTTGTGAAACTAAATCTATTGTTGCATCATGTAGACCAGCCATGGGTAACTTTAAGCAGGAAAATAGTGTTTAATATCGATTTAATTTAGTTTGGCGCCAGATTGTTCATCTGGTGTCTGTTTCAAGTTAGTGATTTGTTAGCACACCATGACTTTGTTCTAGCCCTTTTAATTTTTCAACCCACTGTAGGTATGGTATTAGCTCAGTCAATTGTCTAATTATAGAGCATCGAGATTTAAACAAAGTAGAAATTGATGAAACTTTTTATTCAAAAATGAAAATAAAAAACATTACAGATAGCTTAACGTCGTATTTAAACTAGCAATAACAACAGAAAAAACTAAAGTTATTCTCAAAAACTGCAAAGCAAACTATCTAAATCGAGGAATAAAAAGCTCCGTGTGACGTATGTACACAATACGGATTACCAGTGCAAACTAATAATCCGACAGTTCAGACATTGCGTTTTTTCAAATCATTTTTTAAAACTTTTTAACATATGAAGGCTGATAAGATATGTTGGATATAATTGCTCCAAAAGAATGCTTCATTTTTTTCTATTCTCTATGAATTTGAGACATGTATGCAGATGAATACAATTCAAATTAATGCAACGTGTACATTAGATTCGTTTCCTTTTTCATTTATTGTCAGATACAATAGATAAACTTGCGTTTAATAGAATCTTACGCGTTTAAGAAAAGTAAATTTGATCATCATACACATAATTGTCTTTTTCTACGATAATAGTATATTCTTTTTTTGTTAAAAGATGATACACCTGATATGTGTAGAATAGGACTTAGTGGAAAAACCTACTTTGCAAAATCTCTCGTAGACACTTTAGTTGAGTTCGAGTACGAAGAGAAATTCGAACAAATTTGTACGCAATCAGTGCTATTGTTCTTAACCCTTGATCTAAATATTACATAGTATAGAATAGAAAGATTTCAATCAGAATTTCAGCTTTATACACGAAATGTCTGATGAGAAATCACTGATTTTGATACTATTGCAAGTTCCGATAAGTCACGGTATTATTCTTACTTATCCGAACATATATACAGCTCGAACGACTGCTGACAAGAAACCTGCGAAATGACAGTCACAATAGGAAAAGCGAACATATTTACCTTGATTAATCGAAAGTATTTGATTGAATGACCCTCCAGTTGTTGAATGACCCATATACTTTTCAATCGGTAATCGATAACATGCAATTTGTTTTTCCGAACATGTTTGGAAAGTTAAATTCTTAAATCAAATGAAAATGAAGTTAATAGTGAGTAATTAAATGTCGGATGTGTGAGCATCTCAAACCTTTTTCACACTTTCATCGACCAAACCACCAATAACACAAATATCATCTTGATTTATAGTTTCTAATTCATTTGAAGCATTTGGACTTAAATAAATCAATCGTTCAGTTGGGTAAGCTTCATGAACAGGTTTTTCATTCAAGGTAAGCTAAAATGAATAGAATAGCCAGAAATACATTATAATAGAAGACAAAATTTAAACACTACATTATATTTATCGAATCCACTATTAACTCGTTGACATTCTTTTGTGAGTGGACTATTATTTGACCAATTTGTAAGTACCAAATGGACACATGGTAGTGAACGACGATTTGAACTATAACAACGACCGATTTGTCTAGCAAGACTTGCTAATTCCTAATTAGAAACCCAAACAACAGATAGTTAAAGAAAAATGGTTCATTGTTGAAACTTACGAACCTTACCAGACATCGACTGATTATAGGCACAGTCAATACAAACGGTCGGTCCATTTGTTTTTGCTAGTTCTATACGTTCATTTGCTAACCGTTGAAATTCTTTTTTGTTCATATTCACCATGTTCGATGAGGAGAGAACTTCTGCTAAAAAAATTAATAGATATAAATGTCTGACTTTTCACACAAAGGAAAATATTAAATCACTTTCTACGTTAATGATATGTCCAGAACATACTGATTTAGAGAGACTAGTGGAGAAAAAGAGATATATACCATCTGTTAATATTGATGGTATTGATGATGGTGATAATGTCGTTCTTGAACCTAATCTACTATTTTTTTCATCTGTTGGTTTTTTCAATTTTCGCTTTTTTTTTCGGTGTTCGCGTATACGTTCATAGCGCAGTTGTTTCTTTTTGCTTCGCGGCAAACGGACAGGTTTTGTACATATATTCTCAGTAACTGTAGTATTCGTTGTTATACTTTCTACACCGTCACACGTACTTGTCATCTAAAAAGCATAATTCGATTAACAGTGCTAATACAATTCGAAAATTTAATCAACTAGTTAGAAGAGAACTCAAATTATTTACTAACATTATACGATCTGACAAAGACCATCAGCTTCAGCAGATCTGACATATAACTGCGATCTGGATCTAAAAAATGGGTCTGTAGCCTACACTTTCAGGTCTGGACTTGAATCTGGATCAGAGGTTAGAAATGAACTTTTAAACCTAATGCAAATATCTATCTGTAACTTGCTCGTCTTTGAGAATTAGAGTTAACCACTTAGAGACTAGGAAATTTTGAACTCCGTGTTTTGTGTTATCATGTGCAATCTCTCTGACGCTACAAAGGGAAACTCAAAAGACGAAATGGAAAATATGATTGAAGAAAGATTATTCCAATCAAGATTCTTGGTGTTGACTAATCGATCAGGCTAACTAAACAGAAGCCTAATGCCAAAACGTAAAATGAAAGAAATAGTAATATGATTGATCATGTTCTCCTTTCGCTCCAAATAGTAGCTCCAATGAGAGACTTTTTACATCAATTCGCCTTGATTCTGGCTCCTTGAAGCTACTACTTGGAGCTAAAAGGAAAATAATAATTGAATGTTATTCGGAGGAGCAACTTTAGTCTTCTTCCTCTTGTGGCTTTAATTCGACAGAAACAAACGAATCAGAGGCGTAGTTACGTAAGCGCATAAGTGTGCACAAGTCGCTCTACTAACTTATACCTAACTTCAGTTTCATTGACCATGGTGTCAAAGAGACGGAACAGATATATACTGAGCTTTTTCTACAGAAATCAATTCAAGAATGCCGTGTACTAAAAAAAGCAACAGTTATATTGACCAAGCCGAATAAACCTGACATGTCTTGCAGCTTGATAAAAACTATTAATTATGTTTTGGGCATTCTTTTGAGCAAAAACGCTCTACAAAGCAGGATCACTATAAGTTTCGGATAAGTTTTAACATTGAACATACCTTTACTAAAAAATCTTTATCTAAGTTGGTTTTTTCTACTGTGCATATACTACAACCAGTTTATGGAAAGATATTGCTATCTTATAAAATTTCTTGGGCTTTTTGTTGAATACAAAAGCGTATAGAAAGGATGAGGGAAAGTAGAATATTTGTTAAATATGAATATTTTGATTTACCTTTTTAGAACTGAAATGGAAACAAACGTGATCACAAATAAGAGTTCGATTCTCGATATTGAAAGTCGATTGTCATCTTTGTATTCTTTACATATTCATAATGATCAAACATTGTTCGAATTTGAATCAATAGTTAACGAATTAATCGCTCATATCAGTCAAATTGAATTATTAACATCATCATTAGCAGATGAAATTACTTTTATTTTACCCTGTTTATTAGGAATATGTTCTGTACTATATCAGAAAACTCAAACAAAAACATTTATTCTCCAACAAAATTTACACGCACACAAAGAACAAGTTGTTCGTTTAATTGATACAGTTAAAATGATCTATAATAATGTAAAACAATTATTATCATCACAACAACTAATAACATCGATTATGCGTCCACTAGAATTTTGTTCAAATTTATATCAAGTATCAGAAACACTTCATGAGAATGACGTACGAACATCAGTATCGTGTTGGAAATTGTTTGTACCAATATTAGCCCAAATAGCAGCTAGTAAAGATCAAAGTATGTACATCGATTGGCTGACTACGGTACTGAGAGAGAATAATAAAAAAAGTATTATAATCAGTTCCTTACTTAGCGTTTATTGAGTCACGATGTTAAATGACAGGGATGACAAAAAAGTTCTAAAGAGCTTTGACTAAGTCACCGTATAGAAAAATAAGCAAAATTTCCAAAGAAAAAGTCAAAAACAAATATGGCTTATAAGACAGCGTTGTTACAACTTTAAATGTTTTCTTAAGGCACGTCTAAAGGCTAGAATTGGAAAATTGAGAAATCACCTCCCTTGGCAACACATTCCACTGTAAAATTGTTTTAGGTAAGAAAGATGAACTTGTGTTTTTTCGTTTATACTTCGGTACCTCCCAAGCACATCGATTTGAAAGTCGAGCCGAAGCTCGAGTAGTTAGTGGTTTTACTAGTGAAAAAGATGACAAAGCACTTCTTCCTATAATCATTTTATGAAAATACTTTAACCTAAAGTATTTGCGCCGGCTTTCTAAATCAGGCAACTTCAGCCTTTTAAGAAGAGATGAACTGCTAGAATGGTAGTCGTTCGTTATAATGCGCGCAGCAAATTTGTGTGTTGAAGTTAGTAAATCTAAATGAGTTTTGAAATCATTATCAAACACAACACAACAGTAATCCATAACAGGTAAAATACATGCTTTGTAGTTCCACCATTTAGTACCCTAGAACACTAACTATATCGCTTTAGATTAGAGAAAATTTTTATCTTGTTTAAAAAAATGATGACAGCTGTCCACACCTAAAATGTTTTAATCAGCAAAATTTGTCTAATTACTCTAAACAATTTTTTCCTCTCCCAGGAAAGTGAATCGAAGACATGAACTAACTAGACTATAGGTTAAAGCGTGGTAATTTGCACAAGTGATAGTGACGAGAATACGGATCAGATTCTCCATATAATTTAAATTTTTTTGTTATTTCTTTTTATTTAGGTGACTTTCATTATCAACCAACAATAAATGTAATATTAACAATTTATAAAAGTGCTTTAAAACATATTAATGAATTTTCCCAACGTAATTTTCAACAAGAAATTCAATCATTAAAATTATGTCGTCTATTTTTACAAATGTTACATAAATTAGTTCAATGTAATTGTGTTATCACCTCAATTGAGTCATACAAAGATTTTATCAACTGTCTTTTACAACTTCATTCCGTATTAGATCAAACATATCTTGATCAAAAATTTCTAATTGATTATTATAATCAAACAAATGTTATACAAGATATATTGACTAATTTCATGTCGTATGCATTAGAAACAACAACAACATTTTTTCATGACTTATGGGCTGTATTATCAACAACAATAACTACATATTCAAAATTAATTGTTCTACTACGTTGTATTGAAGCCTATAATTATAGTGTAGACAAAATAAATGAAAATCAACAATGTTCATCGTATATAACAAAAATATTTTTAAAATGTCTTTATCAATTTGTCGATGAATGCTACGTACAATTTATGTTACCTGTAATGACACCACAAACATTTCATAAACCAAATGAAACATACAGCACTATTTACGATTGTGTATCTATGCATTTATTACGTTTATTTCAACACTATCCTATTCAAACAATAGTCACATCTATTGGACATTTATATTCAAATTCAACAATACGACAAATTAATGTAGGTAAGTAAAATTCGTTTAGATTTATGAAAAGAATAAAAAAAATCGTCTATTGTTCATTATGTTTTATATATTTTAGATCAAAGGCAATATCAGAAAAATGTATCAGTGATATCAACATCCGTTTTACTCTCATTTGATTTAATCGTTCAGTCATGTTATTCGTGTTCAAAATCAACATCATGTCATATACTTGTTGGATTACTACTTGTACAAATTATTAAATCACCGCTATTTGTTCTCTCCTATAGTCGACAAAGTTTAATTAATTATTTCACAGAGAATAAAGAATTTCTTCGATTAAAAATGCAAACAATTGATCTATTTAATATTGATAAACATGATTATTCAATCATATTTAAATTATTAAATTTAAAACAATCCACCAAAAGTTTAGATATGCTTAAAACCGTTTATCCATCTACAACAAATCAATTACATTTATTTGTTCAATTAGTTAAATGTATTCAATTAACTGAACAACAAATACATTATATTTCTTCATCTATTTTATCTAATATTCAACAATTTTTTTCTCTACCAACAATAAACAATGAAGCAATTAACAATTTATTATTATTATTGCAAATATTAAGATTATTAACAAAACAGCAACAACAAGTGTTACGAACAGAAGATGTACGTCGCTTATTTCATCATTTATCGATAGTATTAACTACACTGGATTTACCAAACGTAAGTAGTATTTAACAGATCGTTTCAATCATCATTCTAAAAATACAAAATTTTTTCGATGAAAAAGTTCAGTCATTGATATGGACCAGCATTTTCGATCAAAGTTTTGGAATAGGATGAAAAGTTTGCTGAATAATTAAAGTTTTACTTAAAATAACGCAATCTTTGAAGTTCGAAAAATAAACTTTTCACTCTTCTCACCTATTTATTTTAAAGTAAGCTTGATCAACAATATGAATGATGACTAACACTGTACTCAAGTCTATTCTATTTTCAAATCTTTTTGAATAAATCTGTTTTTCTCATATTTTTCTAGATACTGACAATTAATATTCATGTTATGTTATTAAAAACAATTTCATCTTATTCTTTACTTATGGAGGATGATGATTTGAGTCGAATACTAGATTACTGTTTAACAGTCGATTTAATTTTAAACAATCATTATAGTATGACATATCATTTTGAATCTTTAAATTTGATTTCTAAACTCTGTTTTCGACAACAATGTAGTAAATCATTAACAGAATTAATTATTCAATTATTAGTCCGTTATGGTTCACAATTATTATCACAAACGTATACAATATTACATTTACAATTAATTCTTGTTTATTATCAATATTTAAAATTTAGTTCAAATGATGATACAATTATAAAAAAAGTGAATAGTCAATGTCAATTATTACGTGTACGAATGAATGAAACCATAACAGTGATGAATGATAAAAAATGTGAACAAAATCGAGATGAATTTTATTTAAATAAATTATTATTACGAGCAAATGATGTTCAATTATTTGTTATATATCAACAAAAATTAGATCGTGAGTATGAAATACAATCGTCTAAAACAATGTATCATTATTACAAATTAATGATTCAAACAATTGAAAAACAATCAATCAATTTGTCAGATGATCCAGAAATGCAGATACAAGAATAAACAGCTTTTATGGTGTCTATTAATCGTTTTTTCTTCTTCTTTCGTGAACTATTCGTGTTTTTTTGCTGTTATTGAATATTTGCGCATTTTTTTTCGTATAGAATTGAATTTTATATTTTTAGGCAAAAACAAGTTACACTCAGATATAATGAGAAAAAAAATTATTTTTTTAAATGTTGAATATCATCACAAAATATCTCTAACAACTGTTCTTGATTAAAACATGTTATAACTCCGGCACCGCTTTGTAAAAGCGCACATAATAAGAGAATTTTATTTATCTCTGTATACAGTGTTAGTAAAGTTAAAATTTTGCTAGTGCTCGATCTTTATCCATTTTAGCTGCTAAAACTCAAACCAAAAAGTATCATTTTTAGTATATCTGATAGAGATAATTCATTTCCACACAGAATTAAATGAAAATGACCTGTAACTCTTTCAGCACTATCCTTAGTCAAACGTCGCACTCACAAAGTGTCAAAAATCTGAACGTTAATAAAAAATTAGATCTGGCCAGAGAAGAAGTCATGTGTAAAGAAAATTAACTTGGACTAACCAGAAGTAATTTCGAAATTTTCGACATATTTTGTCAGGTCAGTTATCCTTTCAATCGAAAAAACTTCCTATTATAGATGATGATAGATCGAAGACTTTTATAATTCACGCTCATATAAGAATCTTCTGAAAATGTTCAGCTAGATTCAGAATGCTGAGAACATCATCCAAAGTGTCTCTTTTTAAACCCGAATCCTTCTCTCTCTTATATGATTTTGAGCTCATTAAAGGGTAATCCATAAGTTTTGGACCCTCTCTGCAAATTGATATTATCTACATGAAATACGTATAATAAGATTCAGCTGTTTTTTGCAAAAGTTTCCCTATTTAGTTCTCTACAAAAGGGTATATAGGAGATGATCCTGAGAGTTGAGATGCCGGCGTAATTGAACCGAAATCGAAATGTCCCAAAACTTTCAATGCTCCCACAATGAAGAGTGTATTCCGTCAGTATAAGCTTGAATGTATGCGTTGTGCCCACATCGAATAGGCAAAAATGCAGCTCTTGGAATTCTCTATCGAATGGCTATAATCCTAATTTTCTGTCGTTATTTCCGTGTTTTCAATAATGCTTTTTGCAAAAGCCCTGTGAATATTTTTTCAGTTTTTTTGATCTGCATTTTGGAGCTGTTTGTAAAATGAACGGTGCTCACTCACAAATGAATGAATCAGGCTCATTCTTCTGTCATTTTGAAGAGAAATGTTTTGTCTATTTGATTCACATACGAAATGTCTGATGTCACTTCCTTCAAAACAATCGAGACGCCGCAACCAAAGGGTGATCAATAAGTTTCGGGCACTCTGAAAAAAAAATGCTTTTCTTTCTTAATGTCAATCCAAAAAAGCTCTAACATTTAATCTCTTGCAACTAGATGATTATTACTGTAGATTTTTATATCTCTTTATTTTTATATTAGTAAGGAAGATATAAAAACAACACATATAAAGAAAACGCGGTTTTTCGTTTCTTGGAACATTGAAAGTTTTGGGACATTTCGATTTCGGTTCAATTACGACGGCATCTCAACTCTCAGGATCATCTCCTATATACCATTTTGTAGAAAATTAAATGGGGAAACTTTTGCAAAAAAAACAGCTGAATCTTATTATATGTATTTCATATAGATAATGTTAAGGTGAAGAGGGTCCAAACTTATGGATCACCCTTTATCATTGAGGGTCAGTGCTTCTTGTTGGAAATTTATCTTGAAAACTACAAGTCTGATCTGGACCAAACTTTCAGTGAATACTGATCATCTCTATGTATGATGAGAAAATGTTTTTGGAGCATTTAACGTTGCAAAGATTTCTCTGACAGATTAACCGATGGAGAGAGTTTGAGTTAGTTTTAAAATGTCAGAAATATATACAAGAACGAAGTAAGAGAGGCGGATTTTTTGATATTTTGTCTCGAAATTTTTTTAGGAGTATTATATTCAAAAACTTCTCTCAGAATCTATCAGAACTTTTTCACAAAAACTAAATGACAGTAAAACTATGGTCTTAATAAAAAAATCGGACTCTGTTACATCTATTTTTTTGAGATATAGTCTGGATTTTAGAACTCTCGGTAAAAGTGACATAACTTTTGATTAAAGGGTCACTTAGAGCTGCGAGAAGTCTTATATTAACCAGAAATGTTTGGTGTACAAAACAGAATTATTGTAATCCCATTTGATTTTGACTTTTCACCGGAATATAAGAATTTCGAAAATTAGTTATTTTTACAGCATTTAGAAAATTTCTTCATCGAAAACCTGATATTGGCAACAACAGTATGGAGCTGTCCAACCATGTAATCGCTAACTACACGAGAAGTTTTCTTGTTTTGTTTTCATGTGTTGACATGAAAAATACGGATTTGTTAGAGAAACTCTACCATCTTTTAGAAGTTGATTAAGATTGCGTGACCTCTTATGGTAGAGAACGTAGTCTATTCTGTATGATTGTAGTTGGCAAAAAACTTTTTGTGCCTTAAGGTCCCTAGCAGAAGCATAAATTTCTTTATAAAAAGTTGACATTGACATCATTAGATAGCCCACAGTATCTACTATCAGGATCCAGTGTTATTTGGTCCTCATCGACGAGGTTTGGAGGTTTTTAGAAAAGTCTCCGAAAAACTTGAAAAGCTGACTTTTCGAAAACAATTCACCTTCCGATAAAAAACAAATCGAAAAATACTCTCAATAATACCGGGAAATAGAGCAAACATTTCTGATCAAAATGATCCGACACATGTGGCTAGAGGCTAACAGAGTCCGCTTTTTGATATTTGGGCTACTTTTGTGGTTAGAAAAATATCTTTATGCAAGTTACTGAGACTTTTTCGAATTTTGAACTTTTGTCGCTGACCATTAATTTGAAAGTAAAATAACAAAAATCCGACTCTATTAGCCTCTAATCACATGTGTTTTCGACAACTTAAGACAAGTCTGAGCTCTCTACAACGTTTTGTTATTGAGAAAGCTTGCAGCTACGAATAGCCTCATTTTGGTCACTGTTTTGACGACATCTCACAAATCATGCTAGATGGAGTTAAATCGGCTTGTTTTTGCAGCAAAGGTGCAGAATTTATCGTACCCTGGCATCTGATGTCGGTGACAAAATTTTGTAAAATTTGAAAGTTTCTTGAAAAACGTCCACAGTTTAACTTTTTTCGGTAGATTATGTTTTCTATGCTATATCAAATCACTATCTTTCTTATCTACATTAATTTAAGTATCAGAAGTTCTCTTATATCAATCAATCTTCTTATTTATGTCCGTTTGTTCCTTTACATTTCTTTGATCAACTGATACAAATGCTAGTAAAATGACTGCATGATACACCAGCATAGGAGATATAAATTTCCGGTATTATTCGTTGTTCGATCGAAAAGGCAGTCAAGAAACATTATGCTATTTCAATAACTTAACTGATGCTAGCTGATGTTAATTAGAAAATCTTTTTTCTCAGCTACACTGGATTAAGAATTTCATCTGGAACAATTGGTGTATTTGATGGCGAAGAGAAAGACAAACACAATAATGAGGTAGGTTTACAATTACTGCTACTCTCTATTCCGCTTTAACATCGTTCGTAACAATTAATCAAATATTTTGATAACAACTCTTGCAATGCCAATGCTTTCATTAGAAGAACAGTTAGCGAATATTAAAAATCGGCTGCCAAAATGGAACATTCAAAACATAACTGAAAAAAAAAGATGGACAAGATTTACCAACAAATACAACATTTGAGAAAGATATTGAGAGTTTATTTGAAAATACCAAGTTTTCGGACAGTTTTTTCGAGCTGAAATATGTTCAAGTAGAGGGAAATCTACAAACAATGGTATGTTTATCTATTCTTTTAGCGATGAAAAACTGTCCGTATTGCTTCTAAAGAAATATAATCTACTATCTATATAAAATACAATCTATCCTCGTGGGAAACATATTTTCAGGTTAAATTATTGATTTCTCAAAAGAGATACAATTTATTAAATGTACGTTATTTATGATAATAAATATATAAGAGCAGAAGAATTAACGACTGTACTTTTTTTAACAAGGATGAACAACAGGAAAAAGAAGAAAATATTATGTAGATCATAATGTTCATTTAAACTCAACAAAACAGTACTTTTGAATGAATAAAATTGATCTTCATGAATTACATACGATTATTTCAATGCTTTTTAATCAGACGAGCTATATATGCAGCTATTTTGAGAAGCTAATATTTCGATCTAAAGATGTGTTTCTCATAAGAAATACTCTCACAATAGATTCAGGACTTGTATCTCGTTCGCAATGTAGCCAAATTGTCTTGATCCTGGATTTCTGTATCCGAAATTGGAAACAGCATATAATGCATCAATTGAAACTACAAGAGTGAAACATTTGGACGAATGTATCAGTTTTATCGAAATAAAATATACCATCGTCTATTATGATTGATTTTAATAATGTTCGAGCTCAGTATTAAATATAGCCACGACAATTTCTGTATGAAATTGTTGAAATCTGACGTATGTAATATTCATAAGGTAGAAACAACATCGTTTCGAACTTATGAACAACTGGCTATTAGATTATCTTAGAATTTATCTCTTTTTCTATATTCGATTATTATTCCTAATATAGGAAACGAAGATGTATGAAAATCAATCGCTTATATTTTGAAAGGACACATTCAAAATCATTGGTTATTAAAACACGATTCATTAGATGATGCAGTGATACACACTGAAATACTTCATTACATTTGGTCAATCTTGTCGTTAAACAATTACTTGACCCTTATTTTAGTAGATTTCAGTAGAAAAGCGAGACGTATCAATTATGGAAGCTAGTTTTCACTGACTTGGTTATGTTAAATCACTTATGTTAGGAAAAGCTATTATTATCGCCAAAAAACAGCGGCGGTGACTGTTTTCCAAATAAGTCTTAAATGCAAAACGCTAGTGACTTACAGTTTTCACCGTTCGATAGCCGAGAGTTGACAACATCTTTTTATAAGCAAAGAGGCTTGAAAAAACCTGGTTTTCTTAAGACTCTCTGGAGATTATTTCATAACCCGAAAATTTAACATAGCGATGTATCTGTTTCTTTTTACGAGTAGACAGCCCAAAGTATCTTCTTCAAAATGAGAACTAAGCAACTTTTCAATTACTGCTTTTTGGCAACGATAGCAGCCAAAATATCGGAACAAAATTAGTAGTGACTTTGTTGAAAAAGAACAGTATTTTTCTGACAGTTTTTTTAGCGTGTTTAAAAACCAAATGGTCAAAAATACTAAAATAAATAATTTTTGTAAATTACACTTATAAAAGTTTTACACTCATGGGAAATTCTATACTTCTATATTGAATAAAATACGTTGTCTTCTAACGTATCCATAACATAACGGTGTAATTTCATTCTTTTTTATTAATAATTTTTATGATAAAAAGAGGAGATTATGAAGAATATGATAAGATGATATAAAAGTGAGTTTATCTAAGAGAGAAACTATTTTTAAAGACAACTAACTATAATCTAATGCTTGCTAATGTTAACCTGCTATAACGATATGCATGAAATATCTTAATGTGAAATTTTTTCTCATTACCGGTGTCTTTTCTGCTAGCTAGTTACAAAACTTTCTTTTGAATAGCAATCCATTTTAGAGAGAAAGTGGATCATTTCTAATAAAGAATTTTCGCCTAGAAAATGACTTCAGTTTATTACCGGGTTAGATTATACAAACATGACGAAGGAGAAAAAAAATAAGATTTTTTTTTTTATTCCTATCTATAAGAGCAATTCTGACTGATTACGTGCAGAATTTTGAGTTAGATCCAGGTTAAAATTTACTGAGAAAAACATCGTGTGCGCAAATTGCATGGATTATCTTGAAGAGAAAAGAAACTGATTATTTTTGTTCATTTTCATTCTCTCTATTTTATTATTGACATGGCTATATACTTAATCGAACATAAGTAGTTTTAAGTGCTGACAAAAAAGATGGCAGTTCATCACTACAGAGAAAAAAAACTAGACATTCTTCTTCCTATAATTAGACCTATCGAAACTTATTTTATAACAAATCAGCCAACTTTTTCTTCTCCGTTTTTTTTTTTTATGCTTTTGTATGATCTCATTCTCTCAGTTTTTTTTCTGTCTCTCACATGCTCATTGACATATTAATCATTTTTTTTTTTTTTTGAAGAGGAGCCGATGAGTAGTAGTAAAAATTCACATTTACAAACTACTTGATGAAAATTTGACGTTATTGGAAATATATAACAACTTGTCCCTATGAAAAATTATTTCGTAAAAACAACAACTTTATATCAATTTCAAAGTATACGTTTTACACAAAGAAAAAAAAAACAATAACAGGTAAATGAACTAATTTATTTGGTCAACAGAATATTGTTGCTATTTTTTATATATATTATTTATTATAAAAAAAGCTCCCTGTGACGACGATCGTTCATACTTGATAGTCAATTCTAAATCATTATACTGTCGTTCTTTTATCTTTCTTTTGTCACTTTTTTTCCTTTCGGTACTTTTAATCATTTGTAATTGTCTTCTTTTAAAAAACAAAAAAAAAAAAAAAATCCTCATCCATGTCACTCCAGGATAGCTTTTTTTGAGAAACGGGTCAAAAAATAAATCGCAATCTCTATATGAACAAAAACTTCTTTTTTTTGTTAAAAGCCAGCCTACTGATCTTTGGCGTTGAAAAAAACATAATTTATATGTACTTCTCACGAAACATTATTCTTCTTTTTTTTTTTTTCACAATAAAAACCTATTCTTCTAGCTTAATAAAAATCTCTTTTTGTTCCATTAATAGCACATGATATCCTATTGAATAATTCACATAGAAGAACAAGATAGTAGATGTCTAAAATCGAATAGTCTCGATTCATCAATATATCAATATAATGTCGTGTTGTTCAACAAAAGATGATATATTAAAAGCGATGCAAGTGAAACAAGATATGTTAATTAACTTTAATCATTTATTATTAGATCGTATTCGTCATCTAGAAGAAACTATTAAGGGTATGGTAGAAATTCAAGCAAAATTAAACAATTTAACTAATAATAATGATTATATTGTACAACAACAAGAATTAAAAATACCACAAACATTTACTGGAAAAAAATTAACAAAACGTAGTAGTTCTACATCGGATTTTTTTCTTCAAACTAAACTATTGTCACCATCACCAATCTATTCCTATAACAAGAGTATTCGATCATGTCCGTCAAGTGTTGATGGAAACGCTTCTAAAAGTGATAATAAATTTAATCGTAGTGCTCTATCAACAGATAATTTAAATATGATTAAAGATTCAAAATTATTGAAAAAATTGACAAAAAAATTGAATATAAAATCATCATCATCAAAGAAAATAGAATCTGAACAAATATTAAGTGTTTGTAATTGTGTTTCATTACCTGTTTCTATTTCATCAACGCCAGCTACCATTTCCACAGTGAAAAAACTCGGTTCAGCATCATTATATTCAAGTACAAATGAAATTAATTCTCCAACATCACAACGTTTAGAAACTAGACGTTTTGCAAGAGATGTGGATGATAATGAAGTTCGAGCATTTAAAGCCATGGTCTATATGGAACAAGCAAGAAAAGAACATGGAAAAGAATTTAAAAATAGTCCATTATGTATATTACGAAAAGCATTCCGCCCAAAAAAGAAAGAATCAATAACGACAAATACCTATGATTTTTTAAAAAAATTAGATGATTAAACGATTACTCATTCCACATAGAAACGATGAGAGATAGAGTATTCAACGTTCTTTTCTCTCAGGTATATTTTTAAATCAGACAGGTAAATAAACTATATCTCTCTTATATCAGCTCAATTTTTTTTTTTCTATAAAGATTACCATAAATTCTATATATTCGATGTTATTTCAACCTTGACGTTTTATCTTATCTGTCTTTTGTTTGTTGTCATTGGTCATAATTGATATTTATTATATTAATGTTGATTGACTCAAATACTGAATCATTAGCAGTTCTTTGAAAACAACATGAAAATAAAAATGTTTTTATTGTTGTAAACAGGTGGTCATGAATGGGCACATAAATTTGTAGAAAATATGCTAACGTAAAAATGATTAAAGAGTGTTTATTGTAACTAATAAATAAGTGAACAAAAATTTCTTCTTGAAAAGCCTGTTTTGAAATGTAAAGCAGAAAAAATGAAGTATGAATCATAGAAGTATGATAATAAGATTTTTGTCAACTATTTATTCATCAATTGTCGAAGGTCTACTTGACCTTGGTCAATTCTTAGTGGAGTTGCATTATCTCTCAATACAAGTCAGATCTTTATTTTTAAATGCGTTTAAGAAAAAATATAACGTGCATTGAGAGACAATACAACTCAATTGTTGGCAAAAAACAGAGAGATGAATATCTACCTTACAATAACAGTATAAGCATCAATATTTACTTAATACTAAATTACACTTATGAATCTTCGTATATGAAAAGTTGGACACGATACGTGGAAAGCAGATAAAGTTTTGTGTTTTAATCTAATTTTTCAATTAGTTTTTTATTGATTATATTTATTTACCCATACAACGATTTTGATGAAGTAGAATCAATGTAATCATATTTCCAGTGACAAGAGCCATCTGCTGATATATTTTTCGAGACATAATTCTCTTGCCTTGTGACCAAATTATATTATCTTTACTTCTTAATTATCTCAACTGTCATTGATTGATTATCATTAAGATCAGCTAGTTTTATTTTAAAACAGAAGATTTGATCATACTCATTTTTACTACTACCATTACATGAATATCCTGTAAACACTGGCCAGTACTTGTAAAAGTCAACGACAAAATCGCATCAGGAGATTCCCGTTGCACATCTTAAGAATGATGCGTTAAGGAGAGGATGGAGACGGCAAACGTAGTGCAAAAATCAGATCAGTGCGCACGGCTATGGCGGTCGTAGGAGTGCGTTAAACAATGATGATAAAATTGCACACATGCTTAGGAGGAATAACCAACCACTAAACAGAGAAAAATGACAATGAAAATTTATAGAATAAAAATGATTATTAACACTCGAAGACACTTAAACGACTAAAGACAAAAATGGTCTCACCATCCATGCGAACTTCTTATCAACGGTCACATTAACCTAGAATGTGATTAGATATTAATGTACAGAGTGCCACAGTCCAATCCGTCAACCGGAAGAGAAAATAATATCATTATGTTGTTACTCCAGCTATATCATCAAGTTGTATTCATTGTATGACGAAGTAGTAACAGCAGAATCATCAATAAAAGGAAATATCATCGCATTTTTTTATAAAAATTTATGTTAAATCTTACTATTGTTAGTCCATGATTTATGCGACTGTATTCACTAGTTCCGAAACGTCCCCTCTTATAGAACCTAGACAAATTCTTGTTGTAGAACGCAATACCTAAAAAGTTAGGGTCGAATATTTCAGGAAGCAGTCATTTCGTTAGAGATTCTACTTTATAGTAGAAAAAAAGAAGTTACAACATCATTCGTCCCTTTCGTCGAAACATCTTACGGAATTATATTCATTTCGCATCTATTTCCAACATCAGTTTTAAGAATAAAGTCAGCTAAAAATCAACGAAAAGAACTATTTAAGATTAGATCTATCTTATTGATATTTCTAAAATAATTGAACTAATTTGATGTGAACTTTAAATTGATTTTTTGTCGTTCCTTTTCTTTGCTTATTCTTCACTTTCATATATATATATATATATATGTATTACTTCTATCTTAATCAAAGACATACACTCTGTTGATGATACACATCTATTTTCCTCCTTTTATTAGATTATATTACGTAATGAATTCAGTTCAGGTGTTAGCGTGTATTCTCTACGCGTTCATCTAGTATTAGTGATTATTATATTGAAAACTACATTGATTGATAATAAGTTATATATGTTTATTTTCTATTGTTATATATAGAGTCTTGTCGAATCAGAAAAAAAGGAAAAGCGTATAACAGGTGACATAAAAAGGAGATGGAAGATTTATGTGTTCTCTAATATACATTATCTATCTGTAAGGTGTGAAACCTTCTTTTTTTAGTCTAATTTTTTCTTATTCCGCGTCTCGTTTATAATATAAAGATGTATGTTTTTATACAAGGTTGCTAATCTTGTAAATATGATAAGCATGTATTCCGCTGAGCAACTATCATTACAGTTGAAACCTTATAATTCAAAAATAGATGGATAATGATAACAAAGACGACGAAGATTATTATTAAAGCTTACATTAAAGCTCATTTTAACTCATTATATTATGTTAGATTATCAGTATACAATTAAACCTATTAATCTTAACAATCAATATCATAGTAATTCGGCAATAGTAAATGTTGCCAATGAACAATTTGCTGATTTGCCGTTCATCGAGAAAAATGTAAGAGAAAGTATATTATTTGATTTATGTAGTAAAATGCGTATACTGTTAATTGTATAAAAAGGTATTTATAACATTCCATTTTATGATTACTCGAGTGAAACTTCTTGTACCCAAGATCTTGGAAAAAACATCAATTGGATTCTTGAAACTGTCACTTAACATTTTGGATGAAAAATTTTCTTTTATGTTCTGTTTTTATGTCCGTTAGATATAGTTGTTCATATATAAACAGAGTTCTTCTATGTACAAGAAGGAAAAAAATTCGAAATTATTTCAAGCATGAAAATCTTCGCATTTAAAATACAAACAAAAGTGTAAAATGCAACGGTAACTCGAGAATGACCAAAATCTTGGATGTACGGTTCAGTTAAGAGATCAAAACATTTCAAAAACGTTCAAGATCTTGGACTCATGAAATGTCTTTAACTTCTTACATTTTCTTACTAAAATCTTGAGTTTTCATATAAGAAGTTATTTTTAATTTGAAATAAAGAATTTTCATCAAAGTATCACAATTTTTAAAACAAATTGCTTATTTGTTAATGTTTTAGTTTTCAATACGTTTGTTTTGTGAGATTTATAAAAAAAGATTTTTACAATTTCCTGTACTTTAGTAAGTAGGAAGGAAATAAAAGTTCCATCATTGCGTGTATATTATTTCGTTAATATTTACTCAGATAACTTGGGTATAGTACAAAACTTCGCGGATATTTGTTTTCTGTTTTTAACCATCTCAACTATTATGTCATAAAATGTTACAACTTGTTTATTGTCAAATTTTTACAGATTTAACTTGTAGAATCGAGTAGGGAATATATTTTTGTGTTGAATTGAATACATGTTAGAAACAACAAGGTTTCTGGTTTATATCCATAATAGAAGAAAATATATTGTGCATCTATTATTGACGTAGATTCTCTGAAAGTATTTTGCGAAAAAATACTTCCCTCTATACGGTTGAGTGAAACAAAAGTGATTATCCAAAATATTCTCTATCTAATTTTTTCTTCTTTTTTTTTCTTCTTATATATGTATATATTTCACGTACAGATTGTCTTTACTGCAACTACTGTTAAAAAACTACCTAGAACAAAAGTCATGCGTTGTCATGTTGTTTATGCATAGCGAGTATTGAGTAGTATGTCGCTGCCTTGTTTTCGGATGTCATTTTCTTCTTCTTTTTTTTCTTCTTTAGTTGTACATAGTTTTCTGATTGATAAAAAACGATGTCTAAATAAGCAACCTTGATATGAGAGAAAAAAACACAAACAACTCTAAAAGAATAGAGGGGGTAGAGGCGAAAGACGCGCATACTCTATAACAAAGATAAAGACTAAGTAGAAAATATCATACTAACATATAATAAAATATACTTTCTAAAGAGGCTGACATATACAAACGAGTTGGGTGTTTTCCATCGTTCTCAACTCGTATTCTTTCTTCCTTCTTCTGTGGCATAATTTGTATTTGAAATTGGACAATAATATCATTCATTCGTGCTTGTGTCTTGTATCTTTAAGTAACAATTTCTTTATTGTTACGTTACCTTCTTTGTCTGTTATTTTAAATTATTAGAGAAGGAAACCTAGATACCGAATCTTTGACTGATTAAAGGTAAGATTCTTTAATTATTATGTTTTTATATATGATTGAAAAAGAATAGATAAAGAAAAAAAAATGAAGAAGCATATGTAATAAATATTGATTTATATTCAGCAAATAAATAACAAATACAGATGATAATGTTTTTTTGAGAGATTTAGATCCATGGTACTGTATAATAAAAGAAATAAAAAGATGGACTATTTATTCAGTAATACTTTGACTCATTTGATTTTTAAAATTATTTTTTTTTACTAAAATAATAGAATTTTCTGACTTAACACACCTTGTGAATCGAGTTGATACTTCTTTTTTATCTCGAATTATTTAACAAACGAAATTGTACCATATGCTTAAATTTTCGTATAAATATATATATATTACTGAGCGACATCTAACGTGTACATACCAATGAATTATGTCTTATTCATAAACAAACATTAAGAGTTCTAATATTTAATTCTTTTCTTGGACTATCATGGAAAATACTAAGATCTGAAAACAAACAATGTGATCATAGGCGTTTTTTATATTACTGACGAACGTTTTTATTTCGAACTGAAAGCAACTATACACAATACAATTCTACAAAAAAAAAATAGAAGTTGATTTGAAAAGTAACATTTTTAACAAAAGCATTCTGAAACTCACTACATCCTAATACGCTTATTCAATATTTATTCTACAGAAAATCTTAACGTTAAACTGACTATCTTATGCTTTTGAAAAAAATTTTCATCATTGCGTTGTCTAAAATTTTCTTTATTCTATAAATAGTTGCCATTAATAATCTCCAAAAATGTTTCGATTCCACGCATCCGCGTACGGATGCATTTATAAAAGTTTTAAAAACTAAGAATTTCTCGGCCTGTGTGAATAAGCAGAGTTTCGAGTCTAATAAAAACAAATACTATTTTTTAAAGTATATTTACTATATATATTTATGAGATGTTTCGTTATTAATCAGTCATAAATGAAAGCAAACATAAAAAAATACTTCACAATTGTGAAAAAGCCAAGTTTGCTCTGAAGAACGCACTCATTTTTTATCGTAAATATTTTAATATTGTATGAAAAAATCAAACGCGAGTGTCAATATTTTTCAAATATTGCGGAAGTATAATATTGATCGTATGATCATTTTCTCATTTCAGTAGGCTTCTAATTGACATCAGGCCAGACCACTGAAGAGTCCGAAATAGGGTAGTTTATAAATATTTATAATTTTCAACTTTTTTCGGTCAATTTTCTAGCGAAAAACTGTTTATTTATAAATCAAAAACTTATAAATAAACATTTATAAATCGATTTATAACTATTTCGGACATTGCCCAAATCATTTGGGCCTCTTCAGTGCATGAGGCACCATCTGCCTAGAAGGTGTTAAATCGTATATAACGTAAAGGACTGTCATACGCTTCGTTTATGTAAACAATAGATAAGTCTCATTCCTTACCGTTGAGAAAGGTGTTGTGAGAAGAAAATTTATGAAGAATTAATTAGTTACTAAAACAGATTTATTCATTCATTACTTCTACAATTTTCTAATAGATATTGTCAAAAATGAGCCTTTCACATCCGTCCCAAAATAACAGTAAATTTTATGCAGACGCCAAAAAATAAGGCAGTTCACTAACATTTATCATCCACATACGACTGAAACTATAAAAATAAAATATAATAATACCTTACCCTATGGAAGAATAAACCTTTAGATTCAATATTTTTCAAAAAATATTCAAAATTTAGATTGCTTATACAATTCTTCACTATACTGAGCCAAGATGCTGAGAGTTATGTTTAACATTTGGTTGACAGAGTGATATTACTTCAGGATCGGCTCAGTTCCATTTTAAAGCCGTTTTTTTGGATAGGCTCGAGCCGAGTAAGTCTTATAGATTTTGTCCACTATTCCGTCGCCGTAGATATCTTGAACGAGGATAGGCGTGTTAGAATCCATGTTGTGGTAATCACTAATCTGTGAGATAAGACTGACATCGATAATATATTTCTATTAATTAGGAGAATATCGAATTTTTTGGGGTCAGATTGATCTTCAATCATGTATTTTTAGAATATATTAAATCGATCACCAGACGATTGCAAGAAAAAAAAGAGTATTGATCAATCTAACATGACTGATGCTTGTAAATTCATTAGTTAAGATGAAAACCTTTTCGCATTATATTTGTTCCATAAACACATAATTTCATTACAAATATCGCTTCGCTTTTATGCACAAACTATTTTCTGTTAACTCACAACAACAATATCCAGTCCTTTTTTCCTCTATAAGACCATGTATAGTTGTAATTTTTCTTTTTTCCATCTGGTAAAAACGACAAACAGCAGCACAAGAAAACCAGCGTTATTCGATTAAGAAAATATGTTTTCTATACTGTAGACTCATTCATTCATATCTTCAACTATTTACAGCATAACGACTATAAATTGAATCGCGAATAATAGTATAGTTTTCTTTTTATCATCTACTTCATATATCTATTCCTTGTCCATTGTGAACTTAACAACACTTGCTTTTGTGAGCTTTGATACAATTCCAATTGTATATATTTGCTTCTTTTTTTTCTTTGTTCTTTTGTTTTGCAAACAGAAAAAAAGGGAAAAAGGAAAAAAGGTAGCGATGATCATCTTATAGACTAATATGAGACAAACTACTAGTTTTGCTGTTGTTTCCTATTTGTTGATACAATCAAACTATAGGTCATAGAAAAGAGAGAAGTCCATTTAGGCATATGTACAATAATATAATATCGAGCTCAAATTTTTCTTCTTGTGGAATGTATGCATGCCATCCATATTTCTCGACATTTATAAGATGATGAGTATCGTATAGTCGAACATATTTTTCTTTCCTCTTCTTCTTCGTTTTTTTGATTTAATATCTGTAAACTGATGCATCATGCAATATAACTCTGGAAAATATTTTGATGTTAATTGAGATTTTTATGTTGTTCTTGTTCTTCTTCGAAATGACCGAGTGTGTTGTCGACTGACTGAGTGACTGGTCGGTGTGTTTTGTGGTCGAGGGAAGAGAAAAAAATTGTTCCATAAATCACTTAAACATCCATATCATACAATAAGAGTAGTATCAGCATTAACAACAACAATAAAACTTGTTCTTACGTACATACATTCATAGATATATCTAACTCGACCAGAAGATAATAAAAGAAAAAAAAATGAACAGTTTTTTGTAAATACTGATCATTATTTTAATTAATATCTTCAATTAAATTTTATTTTTTCAATATAATGAGATGATCCACTAATGCTCGTCTAATATTTAAATGGGTGATCGAAAAACTGTTGTACTCAGAGGTGGGGCACCGTGGGGTTTTCGACTTTCTGGTGGAGGAGGATCAATTTATATAGCAAAGGTAGGAACGCATGATGTCGTTTATTATCTCTAATCATGCATGCCAGATAAAACCGTTCTATTCTCTTATACGTAAAATATGGTTCCATCGAGTATAATTAATAAATAATCAGACAGTGCTGATATACGTGTGACTAACCGTCTCATGACGTATTTCGCAAAACTATACAATTGTCTCTTGAAGCAGAAAATAAGAATTTCATATTTACTTAACCAAAAACGTTCTGGATGATGGAAATTGTGATGAAGATAAACAAAGATGTGTCAAATTTGCAAACGAGTGCATTTCAAAGAACTGTTCGTGAACTCGTCAACGTCACTATCATTGTGATAACAAATGTTAATTTTAATGGTTTTCTTCAGTAATTTAAATATACGATTTATTCTAAATATTTCTAAATTCAGTTCACTTTTCTTTAAATAAAATCTTAGTGAATTAACATATAAAGTTTTAAAGTCTCTCTTCCTAACGCAAACTTGATTCTGAAATAAATATGAGATCTATAATAGCTCAAAATATCTATCTTCGAAGGCAATATAGTTAATTTTTTGGACTACGGTTTAGGGGAATTTTCAGAGTTGTTTTCTAAAAGCCCAAGGAAAAAATTAGTTTTTGTGATCGTAATTTATCCAAGACTTTTTAGAATATCTGCAGGCTTTCGGATATAAAGAATCTAATGAATATATGGTCATACATATACGGTGTATGCCATAGTATGTGTCGAGTTCTTTTTTTCAATTTTCGTCTACACTGATAAAGCTCAAGATCTACCGTTTTAAATGCTACAAAGATCAGGTGGGTTTCATTTTGAAGAGAAGGCTTATTGTTACAACTTAATAAAGTCATATTTATAAATTTTTCTTTCCTCAAGCTTTTGGAATTGTTGCGGGAAAGCTTAGCCCTTAAACAGGAATGTTTATCGTAAATTGGTTCAGATAGAAACATCACTTGATAAAGATTTGATGATGATTGAATATTTCGTGTTCAAACTCGATTCTTATCTGAAATCGAGCTTTAAAAGTATAAGTTGTTTTTCTTTTAACCTATAGAAAACTATCACGCAATAATAAACCGTGCGATACACCACAGTGTATATTCAACACTCGAGAAAAAATGTCTCTAATGTTTCTGAATGTTCTGTTTAGGTTCGCAGTAGGAGCAAAGCAGCTCTTGGCGGTCTTTCGTCGGGTGATGTTATTGTATCCGTAAATGGTAGTTCAACCCAATCATTACGAGAGATAAATGATATTATTGATACTGTACGAGATCAATTAGTCATCGAAGTACAGAGGTATAATTCATAACATATGTAGCGTTTTTTATATACATTTTTTTCCTAAATTTTTAGTTCAAATCACCCAATACGTGGCAGTCGTCTAGATTCAAGTTCGAGTTTAGATAAAGAAAACAGTCCTATTCGTTATACGACCCGTGCAACAAACCAAATGGATTATAATCAAAATCCATATCGAATGCCATCATATCATTCTTACTCACCTACAACGACTATAGAGACTTCGAATTATCGTAATTTAAACACTGATCAACAACGTTATACAGACAATTATGGACGTTCGATAACAAATCCATTACCATCAATATTTCGAACAGCCACTATTAGTGCTACTTCACCATCAGCTAAACAATCACAAAATACTTATCAACCATCGTACCCAAGTTCAAATTATCAACCACAAACATATCGTCCATCGACAAATAATTACGATACACCAAAAACCTATACAACATCGTCCTATGATCAAGGTGGTTATATATCCGATACGAATGATATGAGACGTTCGAGTATATCGATTCGACCTCATGCTGTTACTAATCGTAAAATAGTAAATGCTGCAGCAAATAATCAAAATCAGCCGTCGTCAACGCGTACCATTAATCATAATGACGCAAGTTACTATTCAGATTCAGAATACGTAACAAGTGGTCCAAGATATTATAAGATAGCACGTCAAATAAATTCACCAAGACGACCAAGCAATGTTGTTCTACCAATTAGATCAGTGACAAGTAAAGCATATGATAATACGCCATACACGCAACAGCAGCAGTCAACACCACGATCATCTGTTCAACATGCTGCTCCTCCATTTGATTTCAATCGTTACCAACAACAACAGCAACAGCAACAACAACAGCAACAGCAACAGCAACGACAACAGCAGCAGCAACAGCAGCAACAGCAGCAACAGCAGCAGAGTTACTACCGAGAACCGCAGCAACATCGATCTCACATACATAAATCACCACCACCACGTCTCGTTTTACCACAAAGTAACTATGGACCCAGTCCAGAAGGTAAAATTGTTTTTGTTGACCTTAATCTTCATTTTACACGCATCCGTTTATGTATTAGTCGAAATTGATCACGAATTGGGAGCTGAATTACTTAAATCTCCTCTAGTAAATAGTAAGTTGACCTTGAAAAAAAATCGTATGAGCCTACAACGCTTCATAAACTTTTTTTAGAAAAAAAGTATGCTGATTCAAGTTTTTTCTCCACACCTTACAATACTTATCCAACTATTGAAGAACAAAAGAAAATGGCCCGTAAGATTGCCAATATCCTTGAGGGTGGTGATCCCTCCAGTAAAGGAAACACAAAGTTTGATCGTCAAAGACAAAGGGCCGATAAGTTTACTGTTGAAGCAGACTCGGAATCACCCGACAATTATCGTCCATTGAAACCAATTCAACCATTGCCTGCTTACTATGATTCATCCGATGTACCTGATTGTATTCGACATAGTCTTGATGAAGCGCAACATATCAATCCATTAAGATATGTCGGAGCTCCTGAAGAATTCAAACATTTACATATGCAGGTAAAAAGAAAAAGGTAAAATTCTACTGGTAAAAGGACAAAGCCAATGATTGTACGATAGATACGAATTTTCTAGGAGCATGTAACACATACTAATGTACCACCACAACTGGCAGCTAGTCTTGTGGCGGATTTAAATGAAAATCGTGGAAAAGGTGCAGCAATTTTTCAAAAACGAAAAGCACGATCGGAAAAATGGGTAGTGGATGAGAATAATGTCAAAAAACAATCACATCAACCGACATCAAGTTATATTGGAGTAAGTTTAAAATCAATATAACACGAAAATTGAGCTATCCGCCTCCTATGTCTCAAACCACTTAATAGGACGAGTTTGAAAGGATTTTAAAATGAGAATTGCAGGACTTTCATGTAGTTTTTGTGTTTTATATAGGCAACAGCAAAACCGTGGGGCCAAAAAGCGCCCTCCGCATGGAGTGGTGACGAGTCCCATTCGATTCCACCATATTCACCAGTTCGTCCAGTGCACCCAGTCGAACCACAATCTCCTCAATTAACACCAGCACCTCAAACTGGACCAAGATTTGGTGACTTCAATGTAAAAGCCAAAGGATGGAATACAGAGAGTATGTCGATTGGAAATTTCTATCTTTTCCCAACTAACAAATAATTTTATTGGGTATTCTAGATGTCGCTCCACAATCTCCTCGTGCTACAGTGACTGATCAACGAAAAGCTGTTAATCTAAATATCGGTCCAAGTATTCGTGAGGGTATAATGGAATCCCATACACGTAGTAATTCTCTACCATGGTCACCACCACCCATTAATCAAAATATGCCACAGGAACATTTTTTCTCACAGCAACAACAACAACCATCAAACGATGAATATTTTAATTATCCACAAGAAAATTTGCTTGCTAAATGGAAAAATCAAGATTACGTTCCATGGAATCAACAGAATGAATCTCAACAACGAAACCAGCAGATGCCAATGACTCGTGAAGGTGTGGAAAATATACGACGCCGATTAATGCAAAATCAAGGACAAGAAGATGGATATAATGAGTCAATGAGACAAGCGTATGGAACCAGACCACGAAAAGTTTCTGGAAGTCATGGACAATTCCCGCAACATCAACAACCTCAATTTCAACATCAACGTCAACAACCTCAATCTCAACGCCAACAATCTCAATCTCAACATCAACCGCAACAGTATTATAATCAAAGACAACAGCAACAACATCATTTTACAGATTTATAAATTGTTTTTCTAAATATTTTCGAGTCACGACGAACATTTGTACAATCTCGGTGAACGAATTTAATTTAGAATTAGTCTATGCTTCATACCTCACATGTCAATTACATTAGAGTCGAAACAAATATTTCATTTCCTTAAATATTTTTAAATCGCTCAAATAAGGTGGAATCTGTGTTCTTCAAAACAAATATCATTGGATATTTTACTATTGTAACAATACTGAGGGGAACAAGGTTGAAACACATCCTTTTACTCCTCATCCCTTTTCATACTATTGTTTTTTTAGGCAAATGATAATTATCAATTTTTTTACTTCTCAAAGATAATGCGTTTTGTTCGTTTAACCTAGTCCCATTCATATCTCGACCCTTTTCTGCACAACAGGGTGATCTTTTTCAGAAATGTGTGATTAAAAATAAAGCTAAATTACGTGGTTGCAGTTTACAAATGCAATCGATATGCAAACTATGATCAAGTATGTGAAAATGCGAATAATGTGTCACAAAATTGATCCGTTGTTTACTTAACCTTTTTATTAGCCAAATTATTTTAGAAAGTAATAATTTGTACATTTTACAGATAACTTTTCAACACTGAGTCAGAATTACAGCAATCATGACTAGAGATCTGCACGGACAATTCCCCTTGCCACGGACATACTCGTGCTGCCGCTGACATGGACGAGTAATCGTTCGTGAAAACTTTTTGTGTGCCAGATAAATTCCAAATATAATATGTTTGTGAATGAAACATAGGGAGTAAAAGACATGTCAATGAAAGAACATGATATACAGGCGAGAAAATTTTCGTTGAGATATACAAGAGAATTCATTTTCCTATAGAATAGAAGAAAATATCTGTCGTTAAAACATGATTTTTTGTCACACTACAAATTTTTTATTCACGGGCACGGGCATATACGGACACTCAAACAACTTCACGGACGGGCACGGACAAACATCCCAGAAAGGTCTACGGTCCAGGCAGAAAAATCTTGCCCGTGCAGATCTCTAATCATGACCCTTATAATCGCATTATTTCAAAATTTTCTCCAGTCACGTAATGAATCGTTGGAGATAATAACAACACGTACAATAATGATGAATGTTTAAGTTAATATGAAAAATAAACAAATATAAATTTTATCATCAGCACTGATTATTACATTTTGCTTTGCGGATGGACGTACGTGTTCAGTCCTTGATAACGGAAATTTCCACATTTACCCAAATGTTTAAAACAACGCAGTAATCAATGTAGAGATACTTATAAGAGACTTCTAAAACAACTTGTTTATCCCTATAAACTGACTCAAATGTGTACGATACAGTGGCAGTCTTGTATGAATATTTAGTTTCTCAGCACCATAGCCCATGCTTGTTGTAGTGTACCAATAAATTTTCAGCTTTCTTTCAATATCCTGATCTTCTCCACACCATTCTAACATATAAGAAAAAATATTCTATTTCTCTTTCGGCAAAAATGACCAAGAAATAAAATATTGCTAGATATCTGGATTCTCAAAACGCTCTGACAAATGGAATGTTTTATACTGATCAGTCGTCTTTGATCTAACATACTCATCACACATTCATTTTTGCCGTTTGTTTCATGTATGTTGATGCGATATGAACTGGTATTTTCTCTGACAGATAGAACATTTCTCGTTCGCACCAAATTTAGTATACATTGTATTTGTATTCGATTTCGTTCAGAGTTTTAAAAATGATCAAATTTTGATTCTCATTCACATGATGCTAAAGAAATTATTATTACTGAATTTACTTATTAATAATTGAAAGGCTTCAAGATTTAACTCAAAGCATCATATATAACTACCAAAACTATGTAAAATCCTTCGTGTGTCCATCATAAAAGTCAGTCTTGTCTCGCAGACACTATCAAAATTCATGTGAATACTTAAATAATGGATAACTTTAAGTTGTCGTGTAGTTTTCGAGAGAGCAATTCTTAAAGTCGAAAAGTAAATTATACATTAAAGCTTACTGTGAAGAAACAAAACGTGCTGTGGATTTACGTCGTTCAAAATAAACCTGGAGTTGCTTCCATTTGATCAGATAATTTTGCGTTACTTATGCGCTTTCTTTAAGCTGTTATTTTAAAATATACAGTTTTTTTTTTGCTTCTTCTCGCTAGTAGTATAGGAATGATTCAAATTTTGTAGTTATTGCACAGCACAACACACATTCTTAGAAGCCACAGAAATATATTAGAGAATCGAAAAACTTTAAAAGCTTGTTCAATAAAAACCGATTCCAGATTTGTCTTCTCACTAGTCGATCATCTGGTACGGGAGAGCTTTTGAATCGGGATACTTTAGAAAAAAATTTCGACATCGTTTCGCCTTTGGTCTCGTGCACTGTTAAAAATCTGTGTTCCTCCGTTCTCTGGAGAACATGATGAAGAACATGAATGTGTTTTTTAAAAACTGAAGAACAGAATATATGTTCTTCAGCCTGTTTTCATGTTTTTGTTCTTCAAAAAATTAGTTCTTCATTTTTATAAAGAACAAAAAACGAATTATTGTTCTTCAGAAAACATAATTTTTGTTCCCCAGCTTTCTGAAGAATGTAAATCATATCCTTGTTCTTCAGAGAGCGTAGTTTTGTTCGTCAGCTTTCTGAAAAACAAAAATAAATATAAATCATATTTTTGTTCTTCAAAGAACAAGAATCCACAGTCTATTAAAATATTTGTTTATGAAAATGCGTGTATCGGCGCAATTGAGGAGAGCCGATGAATGCGATCACATGGTAGTAATGACTGTCTTCTACAAACATAAAACAATAAACAAATAAACATTTTTTTTGCGAGCTGCATGATCGTCCTTAGTTTTGTTGAAATCTTTTCTGTAAAATCATTAATTTTTGGATGATTATTCTTCTTTCAGATTCTAGTCTATCGTAGTTTTGTCTGTTTGTTTTCATTTGTGCTAAAGAGAAAATTTAGAAGTAAAAGAGAAGTTTCAGACTGTGAGGTGTAATTATGTTGTTTTAGTCTTCCAGTTTGACCTTCTGGCTTTGATGATTAGCTTTTTTAGGCTATAAGAGAGATTTCTCTTCTTTCGTGTGTGTTATCTATCTACCATTATTCTTAGTTCTGCATGTTTGTTCGTCTGCCACTTATTGCATTTGTAATTTCTGCCTTTTTTGTTCTCTCCTGAACCATGTAGTTCAGTTGAGCTGCGGTTGATTACTTCATCGAAGGTTAGATTTTCTAAGTGGTACTAGCTAGTTTAACCCACCTAATCTGATGCATGCTTTTATACTAACATTTGTATCATTCATTTACACATTTTTCTTGTATGTTGCTTAGAAAGTGAGCTATTTCTTTTACTCTTTTTGACTTTATTTTCTCGTTTATGCTGTATTATGTTTAACTAAACCTGTTTTTGCGTTCTTCTACGAGAAACTTTTCTTATTGTGTACATCACCTTTCTGCTTATTAATGCAACTGACAGTTCAACTTACTAATAAATTTTTATACCAACAAACTGATCAGAATCTTCTATGACGGTAGCTCTATATATGAAAAGAAAGCCACGTTCTTAAGATAAATGGAATCATGTACTGAGGATTTGAATTCTTCAGCCGATATCTGTGTAAAACAGTTGTAAAACAAGGCGAAAATAAAAATTGTTGTTCCCTTAAGTACAAAAATTATGTTCTTCAACTTTTTGGTAGTTTTTAAAAAATTAGTTCTTCAGAGAACAATTTGTCCCCTATAGAGATCCAATAATCTGAAGAACAACACTTTTTTTCTTCAGAAAGTGTGATCTTCACCTTTATGTTCTTCAGAGAACACAAAACGTGTTCTTCAGTTTTTTGGAAGTTCTTGAAAACCTGTTCTTTGAAGAACAAGTTGTCTCCTATAGAGATCAAAAAACCTAAAGAATAACCATTTTGTTTTTCATAAAATTGAATTCTTGTTGTGTAAATCTTTGGAGAACACATATATGATCTCTATAGAGGACAAATGAAGATCATTTTTTTGTTTTTTGAAGAACGCAGATTTTTAACAGTGTACAGTAACTTTTTACAAAAGTTTTGAGCAAGACCATGATTTTCGATCACACTTGTCAATATAAAGTTAGTACGTTGAGTGATCTTATTTTTTGCTAGTTCGTTAACCGAGTTTTCAGTCTTATCCTGTAATAAGATTAAATACATGAAAAAGGTTGACGATTTGCCGAGGTATCAGTGTTAATTTTATGTGGAAAAGTCAAGCAACAATATGATAAGTAAATTTAAACCATTCATCATTCTTCTTTTATCCGACATAGTTATCAAATTTACATAGAAATCACTTACTAACGTTCTGATCACAAATGACTTACACATAAATGCATTGCACAATACGTCGGATTTTGTATCAGGAGCATTTTATATGGAAAATTCTGTCTTCGTTATAACAAAAAAAAATCATTTTTCATACAAATGAAAAGAAGTGTACAGAATAAATCTGCTAATATTTCATTTATATCACGGATAGAAAAATAAATTTCATGCAGAGTCACAAAAAAAGTGCTTTTTTGTATTCAGTACACTCGATCACCCAGAAAATTTTCTATTTTTGGCAAGAGGTATGGCCAAAAGTTTAAGAAAAACTTTGATTTTCTCATCTCTCAAATTTTTTATCGCTATTTTTGTTCGAAAAAATTTCCTCAACTTTTAACAATACCTCTCACCAAAAATAAAAGATCTTCTGAATTATTGAGTGTATTGAATACGAAAAAGCACTTTTTCGTGACTCTGCATTTATGGATTTTATTTTTTTATGCGCATCATAAGCTCACGTGTTATTATAATGTTATATAAAATACAGACGCGACAGCGCAGAAATATGAATAGAGATGAATTACATTAAATCAAGACTCTTTAATAAAAACGAATTTTTTTTAAATAAAGTTATTGTATTTTGCATCTCTATTGAAGCTGCAGGGAGTGCTCTATCTGTTATTTGTTTAATGTAGTTTATGGGATCTAAAGTGATTTTCTAACTGATTATTTATCGTTGTGACTTGTTAGTATATCACTTTCATTATAAATAGCACGGATAGTACGTTTTTTGTTATTTTTATAAAATAGATGACTTAAATGGTCCAGTAACATTTTTAACGTGTCGAACGAAACATTTTTAGGTGATAAATTTGAATTTGACTGGAACACTATAACGATGGTTTGTAATGGCCGGCTATTGTTTCCGTTCGTTGAGTTAGACTTAAGCAATTTCATGAGATAGTCGTTCTTATTGGTTCGAACGTCGTAATTTCCGTCTGCTGCTGCATCTGTGGGTGGTATAGTAGTGATCGTCGACGAGATTTCGAAAATAGTATTCACAGGAGGAATCGTTGAAGTTGGTGTGAATGTGGGTTTAATAGCTAAAGACAGGCGAACTGAATATACACAAAAATGATTAGCAAAGTCTTACTTTCAGTCAATTCATTTGTTATTGAGATTTGTGTGTTGATTGTACTACTGATAGTACTAATAGTGGTAGTTGTTGTCTCGATAGTTGTTGTTTTTGTGATTCTAGTCGGGATCTCAGAACTGACCGGGCTTAATGATCTTAGTGTACTGTCATGATGAACAGTTAAATTCATTCGTCCAACAATATTGAGTCCTAGACGAGGTAATCTTGCCGTTATCTTGGTTATCAAAGGCCAATATCGATGGCTACTTTGTTGTTGTTGTGAGAACGGCGTACTGTTCCAGTTAGCATTCACTGACTGAAGTTTATATAATTCGGATACAATATTAGTTAAATTCGACATAACGCTAACATTTGATGATGAAGAATTCTGCGACATTAAATTATTCAGTATTCGCTCTTGTACTTGATTATCTACAAAACGAATGAACAAAGAGCAGTTAGAAAAATTCTTTACTACATAGAATTTTGAGTAGTGTCATTAGAGTAAGTGGAGAAGTTGATAGACTTCATGAACTACATCACATTTCCTCAGCAACAATTGAATGCCAATTTTTGTATCATCTGCTACGTTCGTACCTGATGTATGATATGTATCTGAACTATCTACGTATGTCATAAAATGTGCAAGAGAGGAATTGTCTGGCTTTGTATGGTACGTCGGTTTACCCGACAGAATGTTCGTTAACGTTTGTATTAACAGTTCTAGTTGTTGCTCATTGAAATGAGATACAATTTTACTAGCAAATGTTGATGGTTCATCGGATAATATTTTATGTAATTGATCAGTTGATATATTATTGATATTCATCATATTTGAGATGTTTTCGGGATTTGTATGACGTATTATTTGCATTAGATCATCACTAAATATGGAATTATTAAAGGAAAGAATTTCTATGGGAAGTTTTGCATCCGGCAATATGGATGTGTTTTTTTTCGACTGTTCACCCTGTAAGGCTTTCCATCCATTTGCTAATTCAACAACTTGAATATTTTTTCCGTTTATTATTGATTTTAAATTATTGCTTAACTCCAAAGAGACATTTGTAATTAAGGTTGGTGAATGAAAGGTGGTAAGAAGAGGTTGATGTTGTTGTTCATTTTTTGAAAATAATAATGAAATGGGTTTTTCTTGTTGAATGCTTTCAAGACGAAAGATGGGTGACGTTTGTGGTTGTGACTGTTGTTGACTGCCCTCTACATGCATTTTTTTCATTATATTTGGATTAAAACGATGTTTAAACATAGTTGTTTCAAACTGACCGGTATAGGGCAAATCATGATTTTGTACAGTATTGATCGTATATGTATCTGTTATAACTGGTTGATCGTTTATGTGGTACAATTGTGGTGATAACATAACGCCTTGTCTCGGGTTATTAAAGTGCTCATTTTGTTCATATTGTTTTTGTAATTGTTTAATGTACCGTTGTCTTTCATTGGTATCTAAAATACGTGCCGAATAAATCGATGCCATACTAGAAGGATTAACAGGATTCAAAAGGTTCATTTGATTGGAATATCCTTGTTGATTGTCTTCATTGTTGTTAAGCATTACATTACTATTGCCTAAATAGGCTAAAAGCATGTCATCATCGTTAACAATTGTTCGTCGTGAATCTTCGGGATCAAGCGCTCGAACAACTTTTGATTTATTTGGCTCTGACAGAGTGGAAACAACGCTATTCGATGTATCGATACTATTTTGTAGTGCATATTCGGATGGCAAAATTTCCATTTCTGTATTTTTTGAACGAATGATATCTGTTAAAGTAGGTGTTCCTAACACTTGTAAAACTGGAGGTAGTTGACGTTTTCTTCTCATTCTCTTAACAAAATATGACTGAAAGTGATCGATATTCGTTTCACATAGAGTAAAATCAATAACAAAAACAACAATTATTAACCACAATTTCCAGCTATTTTTCATTTATTATCATTACTATACAACTTTTTTCCTGTATTGTGCATGTAGTAAAGGCTGAATAATCGAATTACAAGACAACGAACAATCTGAACTTGTTAAGGTTTCCTACAAAACATTTATACACAATTGATAACAGATAAAACGAAGCCTGTATGCTATATTACATAATGGATCATTAATACATGTGTACTTAATTATGAAAACTTATTAATTTGTGCCACTAAACTATAGTATCGATATCATCTTGTTTATGCTTATAGTTGAGATTACTGGAACTTCATTTACTGCTGAACACATCCATCATGAAAAAGAACAAATTAAAGTTATAAAAAAGGTTAAAATTAACTGCAGAGATATTATACGGGAGACTTTTTTATCAAATCTCGCATCATAAGACTTTACACACGATTGAGTTATATTTTATTATATAAGTTGAACAACAATGTACAGAAAAATGATGAATACTGAAAAGTAAATACTTACAATTGTCATGTGTAAGACAATAATTGCAATTCATAACATCCATCGATCTAAACAGTGAATAAAACTGAATTCTTTTGAGCAAAAACAACTTTCTACGAAAATCAAACAGAATGTAGGAAAAATTTATTGTTGTCTACGAAAAGTGCACTATCATCAAGACGTAAGTAAAAACATATACAAATCTTTCTTCGAAGGTTTTAAGATGCGACGCGACGCAAGAGTAAGTTCATAAAATGTCGAGCTCTGCTTCTTTTTATTCACATTGTGCTAGAGACTCAGTTTTCCGATGTATTAAAAGTTAACCATTTCTAACAAGTGTCTTGGCAACTTCCGCCATTCATCTACTTTTTGTCGATCCTTCGAAGAACGAGTTAAACATCCATTTTTTTAAAGCATTCAAAAACCATTTTCTTTGCTCTTTCCGTTAAACTAAACTATCTGTCTCTATTAGACTTTAGGGAGTTAGTTCAACTATGCTTTTCGTCCCCGTTTTCTGATCATTCCATGTGCATTCATCAGTGAGAATGCACAGAAACAGAGCTACACATTTTGTGCACTTATGTTTGTAACCCAGTAGAAAAAACCTAGTTATTATAATAAATCTAAGACATCATCTTCACTAGCTGCGAGTCTATTAGATACTACTATCCATTTCAAAATAAAAGGCTGGTTATTTTTTGAATAACTTTTAAACAAATGAGGATAGAGGCCTGCGATTTCTGCGAATGGAAGGAGAAGGCCTGAAGACGTCGTTTCACAAGAAAAATCAGTAAAGAAATCATTTTTCGATATAGAATTTTAAGAAGAACTTTGAGAAACAAATCTGGTTCACCAGAACTGAAAGTAGTAATATAAAAATATTTTTATACGAGTAGGTAGCCCAAATTGTCCTTTTCAAAATGGAAGTCAAGCGTGATCTTCATTTTCAGTGGTTCGGATGTGGTATCGGATTTCCCTAGAGCCCCCGGTGATTCCGAGTAGTTTCCTAATTGTATGGAACATATGCAATTGACTACACTAAATCTAGTAGGACTGCTTATTTTCAAAAAAATACGCGAAAAAAAACAGGTGATTTCCAAGATTTATAGAAATTAAGCTTTCTAGACTATTTTCATCAAGTTTTGGAAAACTTAAACTTTCCTCAAGATACATCAGTATGGCCTCAATATACTACATAGTGTACAATATTTATGCTATTCTATACCTAATTGATTACAAAGCTACGGTTTTTCGAGAAGGATTCAAAACTCCTTCAACAAGAAAACCGTTTTTTAAACTTTGACTCCCATAACCACATTTGGCAGATTAAAAAGTTATTCAAAAAACAGTCGACCCCCTTTTATTTTGAAATGGATAATAGCACGGTGGGACAGTCTTTTATCCATAGATAAAAGAAGACTGTCCATTCGCGCTTCTCTTAGATTTTTTCAGGGTGATGGAAACGTGTAACTTTAAATAAAAAGACAAAAAGCAGTTTTATTTAACTTCTGATACATATACACACACATAAATAAGACAAATTATCAATCCGTTCTCGTCTTCTAATGCTCGAAGCTGAAACAGCAATCAATCTCCAAGAACAGACGATTTTTCCCAGTAATAAACCGAGCACAAAGAAATGCAAAAAAGTGTACAACAAACGCAAATCAAAAGAAAAATAAATGGTTTTTTTTTGTAGCGGTCATAGGTAGGCGACGTTGATTACGCAATATTCTGAAATCTTAAAGTAGCAAGGGACACGTAATTCGAAGTTTCCACACAATTGTATTTTTGACTTATACATATATCATTCGATAGAGAATTTCACGCTGAACAAGAATATCGCCTTTTTAGCCTTCCCAGTGCACTTTTTCGCGTCGAAAAATTTAAAATATTGGAGGATCTTAAAATCCGTAAAACCTTCCCATTTCGCAAAAAGTTGAATACTTTTTCCCCGTTTTATTTTGAAACTTTCAAACAGTCTTTTTCGAGTTCAGTGTTGAAAACTGAATTAGAAAATGTGTTTTTGATGGTTCCCATATGTAATATTATTGCACGAAAAATTTATCATTAAGGATATCTCCAAAGCGGCTGATTCCGAATATGAATATGAGAGCTGCCCTTAGGGCTTCGAAGATCCGTTTTTCTTGAAAACCAGTTTTTCAGAAACTCTGAAAAACGCCCAAAGCTTTTCTTAATAACCAAAACTTGTAGCCCGCACATTTCTGATTGAAATAAGACCTCTCCCAACTCTACATGACCTTTCTTTGCAAAGTTATAGAATTACACGAAGAGCCCTAAATTAATTTCTTCTTATTTCTGTAGCTTCGAGTTGACAATGAATATTTATCAGAAATGTGCGGGCTACAAGCATGGCTTATTAAGAAAAGCTTTGGGTGTTTTTCAGAGTTTCTGAAAAACTGATTTTCCAGAAAACCGGGTCTTCGAAGCCCTAAGGGCAGCTCTCATATTCATATTCGGAATCAGCATCACCGATAACCTATAACCCATTAGGTTTCATCGAAAAAGCGAGGGGACACTTACATATGCTCCCTTGTGAGATTTTCACCAAAAAATGAAAATCAACGAAACCTTTAAAAACATATATCATTCGACTCAGTTATTGACATTGACTCCGAATACGATACTTTTATTGCATAAAAAGTGAGTTCTGATGAAGAAAATTGAGAATTACGGCAGAATTCCGATTTTTTCGCCTCTGATTTAACAAAAGTGAAAGTTCTCAGCAATGGAGAGGAATTTCAAAAAGCCGAGTTCTACTTTTGTAGTTCGAATAACGACCGATCGAATGGTGCAAGAATGAAGGTTCCATCTTTACCAGAAAAAACTAGGTGGCTTTTTGCGACGAGGTTTCCGCTTTGGAGATATCCTTAACGATAATTTTTCGTGCAATAATATTACATATGGGAACCATCAAAAACACATTTTCTAATTCAGTTTTCAACACTGAACTCGAAAAAGACTGTTTGAAAGTTTCAAAATAAAACGGGAAAAAAGTATTCAACTTTTTGCGAAATGGGAAGGTTTTACGGATTTTAAGATCCTCCAATATTTTAAATTTTTCGACGCGAAAAAGTGCACCGGGAAGGCTAAAAAGGCGATATTCTTGTTCAGCATGAAATTCTCTGCGCCTTATAGCTAGCTTCAAGATGAATCCATTATCAAACCATAATAGACTCCTTTTACTCACAAAGAAAACGTCAAGTTCGAACGAAAATATTGAAGATAAAAGAATTGAATGAGAGAAATATTTTTTTAATTTTGTCTTAATTCCTTTGAGAGAGAAAATACTATTCAAACATGATACTTACATCAAAACGTTTGACATGATCCAGTGTACGATCTGATTGTTTCATTTTCATGCATATCGTCCACATTGACTGAAGATATTGTGATAACTCAGTGATAGGAGGTGTTCTCTTAAAAATAAACGAAAAATTTCCTTAAGTTAAAAGTAATAAGCGTTACTCGGTACAGAACAACGATACATACTGAAACTGATGACTTTTTCATGTGATCATCATTGTTTAATGAGTTTGCTAACAAACGGTCAATCGACTTTTTCTAAATAAGATAAATGTAATCTTTTGTCAATGTTCGTGGGCTAACGTTTAGAAAACTGGTTTATATTTTATGCTCAGCGAGTTCGGTATTCAGGACTAGTTTGACATAACAGTTTTCATATGATTTCAGACGGACTATCAGCAGATTCTTCGATTGCGTAAACATGGCAAATACTCGTATTAATAATAGAAAATACAGAATAGCACATTCTTTTGTTGCACTTCTTACATCATTTCCAACTGGTGCCTGTGCGACAATTTTTACATTTTCAATATTAAAATCTTTCCATATTGGTGATGGCTGTTGAAGAATAATTCGTAGTTGATGTATTGATCGTGGGATAAACAATAGCTAAAATAAGAAAAATATTTACTATAAAAAGGTTCTCATTTAATGCTTTACCAGCTGCCTGATTACTGTACTACCTGATTTCTCTCAATTAGAAAATGATCGTTACTTCCAGCTTCTCCATGCGCAGAAGGCATCAATTTAAAACGGTTGAGTAATATTCTCCATTGATCTAGATAACGAGATATTTATTTGATAGGATGAGACTCATTTGAGACCAAACCATACCGACCATCAGGATTTTGTTTTATTTTAATTGAAATAAATGCCGTATAATCATTTGTATATTCGATATGTGAAAAATGCTGAAATTATACTGTGTTTAATAATTTTAATGAAACGATTGATGAAAAAAACCTTACGTTAATCGAACCACTGTTATGCGTCCAATCTAGTACCTTGCATCCAGAACTAAATGGCGATGTAGTACGATCTTGTACTGTTAGTAATGTTTGATCTCGAAATGTAACCGGAACGATAGTACTCATATATAGTGCTTCAGATCAAGAAAATATTCAGTAGAGTATGTAAAAATATTAAAACTTGCTGTTGTATGCCAATAACTTTCCTTTGGATGATTTCTTTCTGCGTGGCAAAACAAATTTTGATGAAAAGAAAACAAACTCTACATAGTCTGTCCAGACTGGTGGAATCTCCCATATAGAGAGAACTAGTTTCGAATATCCACGACAACACGCACTAAAAAGATTGGTTGTCTTGAATTTTGCGATACTTTTCTTTGGATTATGTTACATTACAATAGCTGTGGAAAATGTAGGTAATTCAAGGTTACATCGATAGTATCATCCGGAGTTATATTACGGTTTCTTAGAAAAACGTAAAGTTGCTTACCTTTCTTACGGCTGAGGTTTAGTTGGTGATTAGTGATCGCTGGACCAATATTACTGAGGCACTTACTTCATCTCAGTCGTGATTGGTTGAAGTATGCTAGAAAAACAGAATGCGCTGAAGTGACTGTGTAACTTCTGTAAATTATGTTATTTTGGTGTTTCTTTGCACATTTTCGTTTGATAAAAAATATACTACGAAAGAAATAAACCAAATCAGATATCGAGAAGTATAAATACGATCATGTGCGCAACTTTATGTCTAATCAGCGTTTTCTAATACATTTTTTTCCACAGTAGATGTTTAGACTTCGCTGTGAGGTACAGAGTGGAATCGGTACAAGTCTTTTTAACAGAATCTTTTTCATTATCCCTTCCAGTGTTGTCAATTGAGGTACTTCTACAGATGGATCACACACTCACACTCCACACACACTACAGTTGGGGGTGTGATCGATCTGTAGAAGAATCCCGATCGAATCAGAAAAAGATCCCGTTCCTCTCTTCTTTGTGCTTAAACCGATTGTACACATCGATTAGGTTAAACGTTTTTCCTTTTTGTTATTTGCTTATGCTTCATTTATGATTAAAATTTTAGATGTTAATATTGCCTCTCGTATTGTTTGTTGTGCTTATTTCTTATGGACATACCACATTAGATGACGAAATCTTATATGATATCACATGGCAACCAGAATTACCTGTAAATTTTTAATCATTTTCTGACCGTGTTTGTCTTGAACTCTCAACAATTGTTTTAGGAACTACCGCTAGAAAATGAACTTACTGTTGTATCAAAACGTAAAGAAAAATACACTTGTTCATTACCAAATGTTCGAACAATACAACCGGTACTGTAGCTCTAAAATTGTAGCATGTTGCGTTTTATAACCAAATATGTTTCTTCAGGCTTCTAGTGATAATGTTGCACTCAGTGATGTCGAAAGTTTATTAGAAGCCTTACATTCCAAAAAATTATGTTCATACAGAGTAAGTTTCTACATTTATTGGAGTAAATCATGGTCGCTCAGAGCAACCGAAGTTAGCGTCGTCTGTCTACAAATATTAATTGAAAAGATTTTAGTACACTAACCACTAGCATTTCATACCCATTCTTTGCTTCTTTTGGATAGAATCAGGTGCACAACGTACACTTATTAGTCTCTTTTAGATGGACACTTACTGGTCGTACGAATTATGTCACGGAATGCATATTAGACAATATCATGAAATTAAAGTTGCTGGAAAGGTGAGTTGAAAGTTTGTTAGTATTTATCTATAATCGAGTTATTTTTCTATCTAAGAAATCAACACCTCAAGAATATTTTCTTGGCTATTATCAATTTCAAAAACAAGATACAATTAGCGATGCGGATGGTAAACAAATCATTAAAGTAAGAAGGATCAATACTTCTCATAGCAATATAAATTTGTCTTGTTTTTTTAATCTTAATTAGATTTACCATAAAGTTATTGATGGTAGAAATACTCCAACATTACCGGTACGTTACACAGACGGTACACCATGTGATATTAATTCCAATCAACCTCGTGAAACACTTGTGCTCTATGGTGAGAGACTAGTTTTTCTTGCTTTTAGGAAATCTTTCAATTCGTTTTTTCTCATTTTAGTGTGCGATGACAAGGGAAATAATGGTATTTTAGGCTTTGAAGAAGTGTCATCGTGTTATTACGAATTGATTGTTGCATCGCGTTGGCTGTGTACATTACCAGCATTTACTGCATTAGAAACGATTCGACAAAGCATTAGTTGTTATCCAAAAGAAAACGCACGTCAGAAACCAAGAAATTTAAGAAAGCTTGAATATGAAAAGCAACAATCGTGGAAAAAAGGTGGTCGAACACAGTTCACCGTAAGTTTGTTTTATAAAAAAATCGATTTAGACATAATAAGTAGCTGATCCTTTTTACTTTGAAGATAACTAATATGCACGGAACAACGTTTATTGTTTCCTATGAATTGGAGGAAGACGCTGACGTTGATGCTATTGCTGAAGCTGTTATCAAGTCAGCATCAAAATCAATACCACAATTAGTACAACAAGAACAAGCACAAGCAGCTAATACTCCATTAAATCAAGATGGCGAACATGTCGAAGACACACACGTCATCGGCACACTTGGCAATGATGTTGATAAAGAATTCATTGAAGGTTTTCTATCTGGACGAGAATGTCTACCCGGCGGGGTCAGTTGTTTTGCTGTTTCACCATCTTTTTCAAATTAAAACAAAAAAACATGCGCATTATTTTAGACGGGCTGGTGGAAATATGAAATTTGTTATGGTAAACATCTGATACAATTTCACGAAGACGGCATGCATCGTACATCAGTCTTATTGGGAAAATGGAATCAAGAAAAACATATTAATTGGATAAATGCTAATCCAAAAAAGCGTCCACTGGCAAATGTAAATAAGCGAACGTAGGTGAGAACTTTCCGTATAATTTGACAGAGACTCAAATTCGATTAATTTAGATTTATATCACTTTATTATACAGATGGGGATGTATGTGATTTAACTAAAAAACCACGTGTTGCTGAAGTGAAACTACGGTCCGTTGAATGAGAAAAAAATGCGAATATTACCTTTTTTTTCTTTAATATTGACTTTTCTTTTCAAAGGTGCATAAAAAAGACAGAAAAATCTCATGCAACATCAGTCTATCTCGTGGAACCAGAGCCATGTTCGTATGTAATGGGAGTAAGTATATGAATATCAGTAAGTTTGCGACTTATCGGAATATTTGATCATAAAAATGTGTAGAGAAAATAACAAGTGATTTTTCTAAAATAAGGCACTTTTGCATGCTATGTTTTGTCTCACTTAAATTGATTTTATAGTTTTCGTTTTACGATCAAAAGATGTAGAATGTAATTTTTCAGAAAACCACGTATTTGACTTTTCATCCAGACTTGATTTGGCAACAGGATATTCAAAAATACACTAGAATACTCTAACTTTCACAATATCGTTCAACTCAAAGCGTTCTTGACTATTCTGCTAAGTATAGGTGCACAATCCATTGGAACCTATGTTTAATTAATTTAAACTAATTTCAAAATGTTTCATGTTAAACTCATTTAAACATATTTTTGAAATTGAGTTAATTCAATTCAATTGAATTAGTTAAAATTAATTTAAACAAGATTTCAATGAAAAATTTCTTTAAAGTCTTGTATTTAAAGTTCATTTTTGCTACAAGTGAAATATGACCCAAAATTGATTTACGTAAAATTCACGTTATTTTACCTTCAAATTGTAAATTGTAACTAAAAGTATAGACCATCAAACAATTGTATTGATGGTTAAACTAGTGCAGAAGATGTGGTTTCCGAAAAAATGAAACACTAAATCATATAAAACGTGAGGAGTGTCAACTTTTTTTAAGTGTAGATCTATTCTATCAGTATTTTTTATTCATAGTAAAAAGGATACACACTTTGTATGAGAAATTTTTTGATATATTTTATTTTAGTACACAGTGCTTTTCTAAGTTAGTACAGTAGGTCTTTAAACTTAATTTTAAACCGATGTAGTTTGAAAATCAGAGTAATCTCATATTTTGAATTACAACTTTCAGTCTTATTGAAAATCCGATAGATAATTTTTGTAGAAAATTACATTCTATATCTTTTGACGATAAAACGGTGAACTTCAGCTCTTCTTGGAATGTTAAATATGTTCAGTCAACGAATGATGTTAGGATATAGTATGTTTGGAACAGAGATCCATTAATTCGACGTTTTTGAATAGTATTTATTCCATTTATATTCTGAAGAAGATAATTGTTAAGTTTTTTCACAATTCCTCTTTTCACGAATTGAAAACGCATGCGTCTGTTAACAGCGTTTTAGCGCTAACAGTAAAGCGATAAATTGTACGCTATGTAGAATTTTCCTTTTTCAATCGGTATTCGCACGTATTATAGAGAGAATGCTGCAAATAGAGTAGTACGTAATCTATAAATTAATTTTTGTTCAAAATCTATATGGAATTTATCTCTTATATGTTTGAACTTAATCTATCTAACCGGATACATGAGATTTTTCATCGGATTAAAATAGTAGCCCATGATGTTTATTTTTTTGCTTATGACTTCCATAAACAAGACATACATTCGTGGTGATATTCAAGAATCTTCACTACGAAAAAGATGTCTTCAAAAACTTATCAAATATTACTGGACATATTCTTAATTTTTTTTTTCAGATTGAATCTCATTTGTTTTGTAATATTGTTCAGTACACCGATGAATATGGCATACCTGATAAAGAGAAAATCAACGCTATTCTTAATAATGGCAGTTAGTCAAAAAATTGTTAAAGAATATTTAAAACACTTATTAAAAAATGTTTAGTTTCTACTAAAAAAACAAATACTCGGACCAAATTTGTTATTTTTTTTTCCGTTAGTCTGAGTTTTTGTACACTATTTTGTTGTATTCATTGTATTTTAAATACTTTTTAATGATAAAAAGATAAAACTGAATATAGGTTCACTTATTGTTTCAATATTTTAGCATTTTTATCAGCAGACAAAATAAGAACACATATTCTAAATATGAAAATATGAAAACTAAAACTAAATTTAAAATTAATTAAAATCCTTCAAACATGTGGTAAATCTAGAAATATATAACAATTCAAAGTTCCATTAGCTTTAATATTGTTTCTCGCTGTCAGATTATTGAGGTTAATTCCTTCAGACATTGTGGATTTACTAATTTGACAAGCTTTTATCGAGTCTTTCTTCACGCAAGATTTTATTATTAGCACTCATTAACTGAATACAAGGAGGGAAGATGAACTGTTTTAGGTACTCGGTGCTGAAAAGTATCCGAAAGTGCTAAAGGATGCTGAGGGTACTATGATCAAAAAATGCCTTTTCTCCTTGACTATACAAAAATTTTCGTATCGTACAGAACCAAAAAAAAGGGTATTTTCATGTCGGGATACTGTTTTTGGAATCTCTGAGTAACAAATGCAGTTACCCTCTTTTTTTTGGTTCTGTGGAATGAGGAATACTCTCAAAGAAATCTTACAAAACCAAAAAGGATACACTGAAATACCAAAATGGCATTGTAAAATACGGTTAAGAGTATTTCTAATTCCACAGAACCAAAAAAAAGAGGGCAAACCCCTCCAAAATAGAAGGCCAGTCTGCAGTGACAATTTTTGAAAAATGCCCCATAGGGTAGGTAGGGCAGTTTTTTACCAAAAAAAGTGCGATGTGCGAAACTATAATAGAAGGCCATGGCCTTTTATTCGAGGAGGAGGGTTATCTGCATTTGTTACTCAGAGATTCCAAAAAGGGTATCCCGGCATGGAAATACCCTTTTTGGGTTCTTTTTATTCAGAGAGTAGTTGAGCCATCTCTTTCTGTGTTCGTTTTGTCCTTCAATGTGGATGGCTGCGAAATCAAATTTAATATCACTGTTCTCAGATTGATATCGGTAAATTCCTGCCACTGAAATTGTCATATCTTCGTACTCGAGCTTCGGTACATATCCCAATGAACTTTTTTCATGCAAAAAGTTTCCTTTGAACACATTAAAATCGATATTTTGTTGTTTTAACACATCCAAACTCAATGAATAAGTAAAAAAACTTTTTAACACTTTCACATATCTTAAAAGTTCATGCATTTGGAAGTCTTAATTTTTTTAACTTTCCTACATTTTTACAAATTCATCACGTTCAAATGCATTATTAACTAATGCATTTAAACTTCTTGAAATTTTTCACGCGTTCAAATGCATAAGAATAATTTTTCCTCCATTTAATGTATTTACATGTATTCCGATTAATTTGATGCGTTTACACGCGTTAGAGATTAATCCATGTGAACGCATTAACGCTTTCTAAAAACAAAACAATAGTACCCCATTCTATAGGGAAGCATTTTTAACTTTTTCTGACAATACCATACGATTCCTCGCAAAAAGTTTAGCGTAGAGCGATTGTTTGTACACAATCTGATAAAAGGCTGAAAAACTTCTCTGAAAACTGGCGCCTTCTCATGCTATGATCATACACGACTACATTCAAATTCGTTAATCTATTTTTATGAATTAAACAAGTTTAATATGTTTGAATGTGTTAAGCATTTTTAATGTGTTGAAAAGCCTTAAATTTTTAAATCGTTAAAATGAAAAAAATCTTGTTAACGCGTTAAAAACACTTTTGAATTGGTTTAATTTTAACGCAAAAAATGCCTTAAAAAAATTTAATATGAGACTAAAACGCGTTTTTTCGCTAGGCTGACGTATTAAATTATTCAATTGAATTCATTTTAACGCATTAATGATTTTTTAATAGTTGACAACTTTTTTGGTTTACTTTTAGTATACAAACTTTAACGTATGTAAACGCGTTAGAAAATGTTTTCGAAGTCAATTAATGCGTAAGGACATATTAATATTTCACGCTGTCAAATGGGTTAAAAAATGGTTAACACGTGAAAAGGAAACTTTTTTGATATAAAAAATAATCAATTGGGTAACATTCTGGTGTGTGATTACTCTGAGCGTAAGCTTTCGTGCGTAACATTGTTTGTGTACATCGTTCCGGAACACGAATCATCTCTATTATGGTTGATTAATTTATCAGTTTCTTTCTTTTAACTTTTTTATAAGCATTTTGAGAATAATAACTATCTAATAAAATATTTTCTAATTGATTGAGATTATTATCATTTTTGACATGTTTATTCGTCATATATTCGTAAGTTTTAAATTTACCAGGATTACCTTAAAGCATAATTAAAATGTTCTTAGTTCTATTCATTTTTATATATAATTATTTATACACTGTCATTATATATATATTCAATGAAGAATTAATTCATTCAAATATTAATGGAAATAGAGGATAAATCGAATGCTTTGACTATAAAAATAATCACAACATTGAAGATAAACTTTTTAAATAAAATATTGAACAATTTTGATCATATCACTAACATATAGACTAACTATTTGTTTTCAATTATATCTGAATTAAAACTAATAAACTTATTCTTTATTATATTTTTAATCAATTTTGTGATGGAATCATTTGTATTGAAGTGCTCGAACATTAGATTTTTAATACATGTTTAACATATTTAGCGAAGTGAAATATCATAGAATTATCTTTATCAATGTTTGCATATCCTCGTATAAATGAAAATTGAGAAGAAGAATTTGTGAAATGGCTGACTTTCTCTTTTGTTAACTTACTTTTATCAGATATTTCATTTTAGAGATGTATTCTTCGTGCCCATAAGTTCTATTTTCTTGAAAATAAATTGATAAAACGAGTGAGAAAATGGAAATACGATCAGTTTGAGATAGGCACAATGAAAATATATTATCACATACGAATTGTTTTTATCGTGTGTTAAATAATTTGAATTCAAATGTACTATAAATTCTAGCATTTAATATCAAATAGAGAACAATGGAAAAGAATAAAACTGAAAATCTGTTATCTGAAACATCTTTCCCTCATGTTTATGTATTTTTAAATTTATTGAATGTTGGCATACGTGAAACATTACAAGAAGTTACGACAAATATTTTTCCGTATGATTTCACAACGATTCATTAAAAAGTAATCGATTTGCGATATATTCACAGGATTTTTTTTTCGTTTTCAGATGGCAATCATATATTAATTTAATCTCGTTACTGTTGATAGAGTTTTTCATTATTTTTATATTGTAGTATGGTGAACGCGCAAAAGTTCGTTTTTATCATTTTTTATCGAATCCTCCGAGTTTGGTTTATTTGAACCCAAATCCGAATCCGTATTCACATTTCAGATTCCATACGCAGGACTCTAGGTTTTTTCTTCCTGTTTGTCATTTTTTTTCTGTGTTCGTTTTCTATTGTCTTGCTATATTATTGTGTCATTGTTAAAAATAAAGTTTCTAGATCAATACGATTTATTACACAGGTAACAATTTTATTTTTACAATATGATTAAAATGTTCATACTTAGATCGACAGAAAGAAAAGATGTTCATGAGTAGGTTTTTATACTTCATTTTGTTTGGCTAGAAGACGAAGTCAAGGTCAGCTGACGTTAGGGTGTTAAAGTCTTGATCAATATGTGGTGGATATTTAGTTTCTCATAGATTCACACTAGGACAGGACTGTACTATAGCGTTTAATCACTTATATTTCACAGAAATGTAATAGATAGATACTTATATTTCATCATGAAGTTAGAACTTATCAACATGATCAAGTAAATAAAATAATAAAAATGATCGTTAAGAAGGTAAGAAGCGAAAACAACAAAATTTGATATGTGAGAAGAACCAATATTTTTGTCGATGCTGGTTCTTAATGATAGTAGAATTTTTTCATAACCCTTAAATCTGAAATGCAATATCAGAGAAGCGTTTAGTTTTCGTGCTTCTGCATACACAATAACGGACAGTAAGGATGATGTAATACTTTTGTTTGATGACAGTCAATCTAAATTTCATTTACCGAAGGAGCAGTTAAATGTTTCGACGGCACTATTATCTGAAATGTTATTTTTTTTGCGAAATTAGTTGTTAATTTCCGACATGACGAACTGAAATACCGATGGAACATCGCCCATCCACCAGATAAATCATTGGTAACAGTTCATTCTTTTTTTTTTGGAAAAAAACTTCGACTAAACTTATTTATTTATGATGGTGTTCACTTTTCTTTTGTTGCATTCCACGCAGTTGTTTTTAGATGTCATCTTGTCATGGTAAATATAAGAAAGAATGTGCCACATCCTTATTAGGTTTCCTTCGATGTCTAGTTGGTTATTCAACACAAATCGATCTTCATGGAAGTATAATGATATATGGTACAATAATTGATATTGATCAATATCGAAATATTCATTTGAAAAATGTTACAGTAGCACGCCCGCTGCAAACATCTATCTCACTTTGTAGGTTGTGTGTTCGATTTAGTACTGTGAGATATGTTCGAATACCGGATGATATTGATGTTATGGAAACAATTAAACAGGATCTCAAACGACATAATCCTGATCGAACAAAAGTTATTGGTGGTGGACAAAAGAAAAAAATAAAACAAAGTGATATACAAAATAGAGAACAATTAAGTCCATTACGTTCAAATGATTTTTATAATGATATTGATGAAAGAGTATGAGTCTTCATGTAAATATTGATCTGCTGTTGTTTTCTTATAACAATAAAAATTTTGGTTGAATACCATCGTGGAAAAGACTCTCAAACATTGATTAGTTCTCTGATACTTTGAAAGACATATTTCAAAGCTAGAAAAATATGATGATAAACAACTATCATTCATCTTGGTGTATGATACTGCATAAATATCTCTTAAAAAGTTTTTACAGAGAGTCGATGTGCTCAACTCACAGTGCCGTCACCAAAGGAGGGACCCTTGCTTTTAGAAAAAAAATTTCTCTTTAACAATCTCTTTTTTCCCAAGAATTTCACCTGAGCTCTTGCCCAGATTTGGTAACCAATCTAATTAATATTTAACAAAAACATTCTTTCTCCCACTTTGTCTCCCAAAATACTTGAGGGCAAAATCTTTCTTCCACTTTTCTTCAATGAGGAAAAAAGTTCAAATTTATGTCAGCATTATCATTACCATTTAGTTATTGTGTTGAAATAATGATGCTAGATGGTGTTGTGTTCTACTACGTCTATGATTTTCTTCCAAAAAATTGACACCCCTTCTGCTTTTCTCTCTCGCCGCGGTACTGTCTACTCATCAATCTATCAACAACAAAATATTTTCTTTTTCTTAACACATTTCTCAATTATTTCTTAATAAATTTGTTGAAACTTATGTCTAAGGAGTATTGTCGAAATCTTTTTGTTTGAAACAAAGTCTCTAGAACAGACTATTTGATAAAATTGCATCTGTTATAATATTTATTTCAAAACAAACAGCACCTTACAGTATAGTCTGTACTAACACTTTTCTCAAGGTCGTGTGAAAAGATAAAACGGTGTTGTTCGACAGAAGAAACTGCTTGTTAAGAAAAGATCAAATTGGACCTGTTTAAGGCTCACAAAGATATTCTACCTAATATTTCCGAAGTCAGTTGAATATGTGCCGGGTGCACTTTTTCTCTTACACATTTGAACAGAACAAAGAACGGGTACACTTAAGAAAATACACACTTTTTTGGTCACGAGTGACCGTACTTTTGAGATACACACCTATCGGCATACTTTATTTTTTACAGTGTATTTTATCGACATATTATGTTCCAATTAAACAAGAAACTTCAAATGTGTCTGTAATGCAACTATTCATTGAGTGTTGTGTATAGTTAAGTGACAATAGCTGCGTTGAACACAAATTGTTTTCAAGAGTATTTATTAGAGACAGAAATCAGGATATGTAACTCGAGTGTACTGAGAAGCATAGCTTTTGTATTTAGTAGCTTTTAAAATTGTTACGTTTTCTGGCATTAAGTGGACTACGTCTTGAATCCATCTTCTTTATCCTTACTGGTTTAACGAAATTATCAGCGAATATGGAACATACTTGGAAAGTAACTAGAAAACCATTTCAGACCATACCAGTGTGAAACATCGCATCCTTCTTTTTGAATGTGCTGATATTCGAAACTTGATTTTTAGTAAAGCTTCTTTGATAATCTTTTAATTTATCTGCTCTGTTTTAGCCCACACGAATGATAATAGAAGGAAACAATAATTTCAAGAAGTTATAGCCATTCCTTAAAAAGTCTATACGCTTCTTGTCATCAAATAGCTTGAAATTGCTACACGATCGAGGAATAATGTGATGTATGAGATCGTTTAATCGGATAAACTGCACAACTATTGATGTCTATGCCTAATCTTCTTTTTTGAACTTTTTTTCATTTTTTATAATTTTTATCAAAGTTTTTTCACTTATCGTTTTTAACTATTTCGTTTTGAACCATTTTTTTCTTTCAATGTTATTTTACAAGCGTAAATAAAAAATGTCGTTTTTCGGAAGGTTTTTGTATTCTTTTCCATACTAACTGTTTATATTGGAAAGATAAAATATGATGTGATGTGATTATAGATCTCTAGTGCAAATTAAACATCGACATATTCTGAACATGTTTAAATTTTTATTGACGATTCAGACAGAAATAAATATAGATCTGAAAACTAATAATGATTACATGTGGAAAGTACAAGGTAATTGATGACCCAAAAGCCATCTGAAATCCGTGTTACTTTTCATTTTTAATAGTTAATGGTAAGAATTAATAGCTGAATTGAACTTCAATGTATTAGAATACATTTTCTCTATAAACCAGGATGTTACTAAAGATTTTTTTATGTTTTCGTTTAAATGATTCAAAATAACGAACAGTCATCAATGGTTATTAACTAGCATCATATGCTTGCTCGAATCTAGAACAGAGGGAAACATTATTGTTCTGCTTCAGAAAGGATAGACGTATGAAGAAGAGAAAAACTTTTTTTGTTGAAGTAAATTGAAATGCAAAAACGGAAAGAGATAGATCAAATTCTTTTTTATCTTTTCTCATTTTTGAAATACCATCAGTGTCTATGAGTAAACAATGTTGCCGTTCGGTTTGTTTTTGTGTTCTAATGACGCACATAATATGTTCGAATTTGAAGAAGAAAAAAATATGTTCTTACACAATACATTTTTTTAGGATACATTTCGAAAGAAATTGATAGACGTGTATATACATATATATATATATATGTATACATAATCTACAAGGTAACAACAACCAAAACACACGGAAATTATATGGTATAATAATAATAAGTGATTTTTTTGCTCAATCATGATTTTCGGATTAATTTGTATACTAATGATGAATATATTGATGGTAAGTACAGTATAAAATAGCTATATTTGAATTAATTTAATCAGTTTCATTTTTTTGTATTCGCTTTTATTAGGTTATTAACTGTCAGCCGGTAAGTTTTACTTAAGAAATACTCTTAGTATATCTCGTTTCTTTTGACTAGATTTCTATTTATTTGTATATGTGTCTGTTAATATATTTTAGTCATTTCCATGGTCTTTTCCTAGACCGGACCAGATGAGTCGATGGAGTCAGCCATGGAATCGTGAATCAGACGATGGCTCGTCAAGTTTATATCATATTTTTGGTAGACCATCTCGACCACCCGTACGAGTAAGAGTATTATTATTTTTACTATTGTATATGACGATAAAAAGAAGATATCTTCTGTTTCAGGACCCGTCAAAATGTGAAAATTGTTTTCGTTTAACTACTTTAACTGATGGAAAATACATTTTTGTTGAACCGTGTGGAGGCGAATCGTGTGTGGCCATTGTTAATAATTCAAGAATAAGAAATTTCGGAAAAACTGTGGCATATGATTTAAATAAATGTGGAAAATCAAATGAAATATCATCAAAGAGCGATATCATCCCAAAAGCGTTGCAATTAAAAATTAGCACTAGTTATAAGAATACAGTGAGAAGAGGAGAAATGCCATGGCTGGTTCGTCTTGAATCTCGTACGAATCTTCAATCTCTTTACCTTAGTATGTGTGGTGGTACCATCATTCATCCTCAGTGGATATTGACAGCTGCGCACTGTCTTCTTGACAGTAACACAGAAACACTTTATGCCGCAGATGGTGTGTCAGTTTATGTAGGCCATTCGAGTCGCCGACAAATAGGTGATGATACAGTTAGGGTCAATCCAGCAATGTACATATTACATCCAAAATTTCGTATAGGAAGATATTCAGCACCTGTACACGATCTAGCATTGATTAAATTAGCAACACCATTAAAACTTAACAAAAATACGGACATCATTTGTCTTCCAGAGAAAACAGATGATTTAACCGATGGGACTCTAGCACACACAGCCGGTTGGGGACGATCGTCTGATAATAGTCCTGTTGTTGATGAAGCGAGAAGAGCTCGAATAAGAATTTCACCAGATGCTTGTCGAAAATTGCCGATGAATCGTACAATTCATATTTGTGGACGAAATGAAAAAGGCAATAACATTTGTTCAGGAGATTCAGGTTCGGGATTGTATGTTCGAGCTGGTATCATCAACGGAACAAGTACAACATGGAAATGGCATGTATTTGGCGTAGCATCATTTGGACGAGAAGAATGTCAAGTATCAGTAAATCATGATAATGCATTTTCATCTGTAGCAGCCGATATTGATTGGATTAAAAGTGTAATTAGGACGTACTAATTGAATATGGATATTGATCAAGAATTTTAATGGCGGAATTTAGCTAGTCAGTTGGATGTTCATATTTATATTTGTAAATCTTTTTTTTCTGTTGCTCATTTAATGTAAATGTATTGCAAAAACAGAATAAAGGGGCGCGTGTGAGTGAGAGTTATTCGAAAAAGACCAGAGGTTATCGACTCAACATCAGAAAATTCTATTCAAAATGCCGTTAATGACGAAAATGTTAAGTAATCAACTACTTTTTCCACGTCAATTTTTTGATGATAAAAGAAGATGAATGAAAAACAAAACAAAAAATTGAGTAAAAAATTTCAAAATATAATCGACAATTGTAATTTGTGATAATAAAACTGAATAATGACAAAATAAAGCATACCACATCCACAACCATTTTTCTTCTCACTATAAAACAAGGTCGAGAATTGGATTGTAGATTTAGATCGATTAATTTTGACATTATTCAATTTTATTACCACAAACAATATTGGAATTGTTCAACGTCTTAGTCAAACATACGGCAATGGTATATTGAAGATGATACGACGATATGAACGATTATCAAAGGAAATAATTAAATCAGACTGTGATTTTAAGTTTGTCAGAATATACTTATTGAACAATTTAATATCCCAGTTTGTGCATTATCGTAGTCAAAAAATGGTTATCCATCAAATTTAGTCAAAAGAAAAATAAAGAATTAAATTGAACAATATAAGAAACAACAACAATAAGAAAACAAATGAGAAAGAAGAAAAATATCTTGCTTCGTTGACATATTATAAAACAAAAAGATTGGCAAACAAATTTGGAATTATATTAGAAAAATGATATCTGTCAACTGAAGTTATTGTTGGATTTAAACCTGATTTAATATGGAAGAAATTATTCATGCAAAAGTATAAAGGTTTAGATGATATTAATAGTGGTGTAATTTAAAAAATTAAATGTAGTAAATTTTATAAAGTATATTATATATTCGTCAAACCAAACTTTACTTGGTGATAAGGATAGAACAACATAAAGAAGGTTTGAAAGAAGAAGGAAAATCAGCAATAGCTGATGATATGCACAATAACAAAAACCGTACCGTACAGTTTAATCTAGCTTGGAGATGTCAACTGGAAAAAACGTGACAGAAAAGAAACGTTAATAGCAGTGAAACATTCAACGTCATATTACAAAATAAGCCATATGTTAATATTTAAATGACCAGTAGCAAAAAATCCTGTTCTTATTTTTTTTTGTTTTTTACTTTTAAAATTTTGTATTTTTCGTTTTTTATTTGTAAAACAAGGAAGAGGAACACTGCAGGTAGACAATTCCAATTATACGTTTCTCGCCATTGTTCAAAAGAAAAGAATAGTATAAACGAAACAATTGTACATATATATGTATATTTATATGTGTGTGTGTGTGTATATTTTTGTAGTTGAAGATGATTTATGATATAAATCAAAAGCTTTACAGTGAGAAGAGAAATTATTGTAGATTTTATATGATTCATTTTGCTACCATTCAACAATTCTAACAGTTATTCTCTATTCATAAAAAAAATTTATGATTTGTTAGTCAAATTTTTTGATAATAAATTTCAGGATTTGTTGGTAAATAGAAATATGCTCATTAAAAGAAACAAATGAAATAGTGGTCATAATATTAATTATTTACTCTGACGATGAGCTGGTGACATGAAACGTTTTTTTAGAATAAATTTTAAATTTTAAATAATTAATTCGTGTTGTAAAAAATATTATGAGCTTATACAAAGTCCTGCCGTTATATACCCTGAAACAGTGGTGCCCTGATAACTATGCAACCATTTCATTATGATAACGTGATTAAAGTGTCATGTGAAAATGATATTCTCGGTTTTTGCAGTGTTTCTGAATATACTAAAAACACAATCTTTAATACTTTCACTTTTAGAGCAATCTATTGAATGATATTTGGGGTTGTAATAGTGCCACAAAAGAAGAAGAATGGCACAATGTTTTTTGTAAAAGGCTATACGAAAAATAAAAATAGATATAACTTAGCAACTTGTAAATCCATTTTCTAAATTAATATAAAATAATTTGAAAAAAGACTAAATCTATGTATAATAATAATAATTTAGTATTGTTAATAATTTATATTATAATAATTTAGTATTGTTTAAAAATAACAGTTCACATGCGTTAGTGATGATCTGTTTGAATTGATAATGGGTGTACGATATTATTGGCTGATTGTGTATTTGATAACCTTGAGATTGATGGTAACTGATGCTAATCATTAGTTAAGTGTTCACTGGTTGCTGCTGCGGCGATAGCGGCTGATTTTGTTTGAAACTTTCGTTGAACGGTAGCTTCGACGTTTTTTCGAACAACATTTGTTATTGTTTGTTGATGTTCAAGTTGTTGTTCAGTTGTTTGCGGCGTTATATATGTACGATTTTTTGTCTGTACACGCGGTAATATGTCATCGTAAACATCTGTTGGGTGTTGAACCAGATTTGTTGTTTCAATTTCTATTTCATCGATACCAGCCGTTTTATAAATATCATCATTATCATCGGCGACTGGTGGATATCCTAAATGTAAACCAGTTAATATGTAATAGAATCTTAAAATGGGATATCGGACTTTCATTGAAAAGCTTTCATTAAAAGGAAGTTCATTAAAATTTTTAACGAAATTCTTGTGCCATGAAAAACTCTAGTTTATAGTCATTTTGCATGAGACATTTTAATGAAAGTACCGGATTTTCATTAAAAAACTTTTAAGGAAAAGTTCCGATACTTCCATTAAAAGAAAACGCTTTAATGAAAGTTTTTCTAATGAGAGTCATCCAACCCCTTAAAATAAAATAAGATTTAATTTACTTTTCTGTCGACCATTTTTTTCTGTCACAACACTTTCGTACTCGGAATCTTCGTCACTTAATGTACTTTCAACATCTTTCGTTCTCATTACCATATTAATATCATACGGTAATATTTCTGCTTTATCATTCAATGGAGGAAAATTGGGTGGAGCTGGCCATTGATCAAGATTATTAAATGAGATTGAACGATTACCTAAATGATCGTCATTTGGAGCAAAACGTTGGTCAGAATTGGCCGAATAAATATTACTGTCAGAATACCAATGAGGTGATAAATTATGGAATTTTTTCGTTATTTGTTCATAATCATTGTTCTTTAGATTATCGTCTGAACGTGACTGTATATTATCATCAGATGTAGTGTATGTGTTTCGGTTATTATGACTTTTATTTGGTAAAACTGATGAATCATCGACTAATGTGTCATATTTGCCCAATCGTTCCCAAACAGGTTCCTCATTAACGATTTCTATTGATGCACGTTTGACAGGTGATGCTGGATTACCCAATCTCACTGATGATTCATTTCTAAATTAAGAAAAAACCTTATGATATTAAACAAGTGTCAAGAGATTCATGAAACATTCTTATACCTGCTAGTGGATAAATTTGTTGCATTAATATTATTCGAAGATGTTGGTGGTGGAGTATTACTCATCTCTCTTGCGTTTTGTCTTGTTGCTATATTTGGTGAATTATTATCAGGTTCTTCATATTGAATGTGAAACAGTGTGGTTTCTTCCCATTGTGGAGCATCAGCAATATGCTCAGTTGCCATATTGATTCGGGTTGTATATGGTCCTTGTAAACGTATTATGGTTGTGCGTGGAGATGGTGGGGATGATTGTTCTTGAACATAGTACGTGCCTTGTTCGATGGAGGGTGCTTGTAGAATTTGGTAGTTTTCTTCTTCGTTAATAATAATATTTTTTTTAGTATTTCGTGTGATTTTCGTTTCAATATTTTCTGTTACACTGTTTTGATTATTACTATAAAAGGATGGTGGTTGTACTCTAAAATCAAGACATCAATTGATTTTCAAATAATTGAGATACAATAGTATAAAACTTACCCGATAGACATTAATCGATGATTAGATGCTTCAGATGAATGAGATGAAGACGCGGATAATGAATTTGGTTTATTATCTGATGTTTGAGCACGAATAATGGTAACTATCGGTGCTATACTTCTATTATCATCCTCGTTTCCGTTTTTGAACTCATATTGATTCGAACGTGCTCCAGAGCCTACCAAACTTGATTGATGTAAATTATTTTCATTTTTTGCGTCTAAATAATCGTTGTGAGTTGTACGACCCTGACTAACTTCTCGATAAGTATCATCTTGTATCGGTGGTGGAGGTGACGTAATGAATTGACGACCTTGTTCAATGGCATATACAGATCCATTACCTCCACCTGCATGTTGTCCATACAGTGGCACAAATTCATCCACTTTGTCACCATATTTTCTCTGCAAATAATCAGTAACGGTGCGTTGTAAACGAAACGAATACAGAAAAATCATTTCTTACCTTTAGAAAAAAACGATTGTGTCCATACCTCTGGCAGCAATATCTCAGTAAGCATAATAATGCTAATAGTTCACATAGTAACAGAGCACATATTGCCCAAATTACCAATGCACGATTGATCCACCAAGCAAAATCCGCACTAGAAAAAAAACATTTTTAAACAAATTTTTTTTAAAAAGCACTTCAGAAACAGGTAGCTCAAACTAAATTGGCTGGTTAGATATAATATGTAAAACTTCAGTAAAAGATGTATTCTTTTATTGAATATTAAATAACTGAAAACTACTTACGATTGTTGAACTGGCGTAGTGAATGTCTGGCCCATTCATAAACTGTTAACAGCTTTATACAAATATATCCGCTCTTGTTCGATAATAAGAATTTTTATACATAAATCATCACTTCACAAGTTAATAAAAGCACAAAGTCCTGTTATTTACTTTACAGTTCATTGAAAATTTGTTCGGTTTTGTCCTATCATTGATCAATAGATATTACTCAATACAATATTCGGGTATGTAGCTATTTGTGTTGGTTCAACTTTGTGGTTTGCTATTCATTTATCATTTTCACTCTTTTTTTTTCTCCTTTATTTAAAAAAAGAAATGCATATACATAGCAAACATATGCATGAAAAAAAGAAAGTACAGATGACTGTTGTTCGATTTTCCTTTATTTTAGATGTATATATATATAAAAATGTTGGAATAAGTAAAATAAGTGGTATAACACGTGTTCATCATTAATAAATAATGTTAACGAATATGTATATCCAATGTCTAAACACCGATAATTGTAAGGTGATCAAACAATGAAGAAGAGTTAGAATAAAATGAATAATAGATTGTCTCCTTACAATAGCATGCTGATAATAGCATCATACTGTAAAATGTATGTGTGGTTTTAAAACGAAATGCAAGCCATATAAAGTAAGTTTTTTCTTCTTTTTTTTCTTTTGTTTTGTCCGATTCTAGTAATAAAAAAAAACTGAATTCTTTCTTTCAAGTTGTTTACAAAAAATTTGTTCTAACGTAAAATCAAATTTCGACAAAATAAAAGGATAAATATAAAATAACACTTATAGTATTTCATACTCAGACATTCGACATTTTTTCTTCTCTTTTTTGTTCTGTGGAAAAACGAATCTGAAAAATTATGTTGAGAGTGAAGGTCTTTGCAGAAAAACAGATCAACTCGAAGTTTTTTCTTTTACATTTTTTATACTTAATCCAAACTATAGTCAGTTTTTATTCTAGATACAAGTTCATTTTAACATTGCTCGAAAGTTTTTAGATGAAATATTAGCTGTTAGATGTACGCTATTGAGTTGAAATTATTAGAGAAACTACCCAACTGTTGCAATTACTTCAGGAGTCGGTGCCAGACCACTCTCTGACTTTTGACTATTTCCCATATTTAGTCTGTGATTTAAGCATATATATATATCAAATAATCTGTCACAAAGGACGTTTTTTCTCTGGATTTAAATTATTTTTTCTGTACAAATTCGTTTTCGTGAATCAATGACTCTACATGGAAACATTCTACCCTTTACAACAAAAGAAAGTTGTTTCTCCGGTATTACTTTTTCTATATCAGAAAAAATCTTTCTCTAGAAAAGATTTATACATCTATGATAGATTAATAGCAAGACAAATTTCATTAATTTTAAACAACTTTTGACTTGTATACTGATCGGAGAGCTCCTACTTTTTTTGTTCAAGTAAGAATCAGAAAAGGAAATTAAGAAATAAAATCATCGAACAACACTTTTTTACTGATAAATTTTTGGTCTATTTCGATAATTGCAAAGAGAATATTTTACGTGAAATTTGATACACAGATTGTGTCTGCTGTTTAATTGTTCAAAAGAAAGATGTTGTAATATTCTATAATATCCGCTTACAGTCCACATCATAATTACTTTGCTCATTCGATCTTTTCAAATCTAATTTGTTTGTTTAAGATCATTTTAGTGACACTTTATAACTTTAGAGTCGTAACCAGAATTTTTTGTCTTCTTCCTCATCCGTCTTTCGGAGCGATACGAAACATCCTTGGGTGTAGGTGAACTGAACACCTTCTGGGTGAACCTTGAATTTTGTTCTATTCAATGCTAGTTTCTCAGTCGTGATTATTCTTTATCATGACTTATCTGTGTAAAAACAAAAGTGCTGTCAAGAAGAAGCTTTTTTGTCTGAAAACCACAAGAAAATGTTTCGATATTTAAACTTAATAAATGGTTCGCTCTAATCCAAATTCGATTTGAAAAGCAAAATTTTGTGACGTTCTTCTTGGGCAGAAAAATTCGATCTTCCAACGGTAGATTTATTCTCCTAGGGCAGATAGAAACATAGGAGAAAATTCTGAAGAAGAGTCCGATCCAAGAGCTTTTTCTGGAATTAAATTGTTCTGATTCTGTGCATCAATTTTGGAATAGAATGGCTCCAAATGCTCATGGCTTAAAGAAAGTCAAATCGACAAAACAACTGTATTATACCAATCCAAATTTGTGTTGTGCTTTCATGTTAGCTATTGTTCAAGAAAAATTTTGAATATAATTCGAATGGAGAACAAATGTCAGATCAATCGTTCAAAGGTTTTTCTATTGAGTAAGAACTCACATCCCATTGGACAATAACGATATTGCCGTCCTCCCATAGTTGTGTCAGTGTTGTAATTTATTCAACTTTATTTACTCATAATATTGCAAAAAATAGTATAAAATATTTCCAATTCTAAAAATTCAATTTTCTTTTTCAAATTTCTAACATAAATCTGATTCGCTACCCCAAATAACAACTAAGAACTATAACAACAGTGTCAGAATAAGCACCAGCAAAATAAATTGATGCTAGATTGCGAAGCAACCTCTACTGTGATATTTTGAGCGCTATATCATTTATGAACAAAAACGATAAACAAAATCTATAGAAAAACATGTCGGAACCATAATCTTGCATAACTGCTGCACATCTTATATTGATAATCATCAAGAAATGACGATCAAACGACTTTGTCCTGTACATGTCCAAAAAAAAAGACAAGCTACAGGCAAAAATATAGAACAGGAATTTGAAGAAACATATAATTTTCGCATGTCTTTATAATCAGCGGCGTCTATTCCCATCTAAACATTTGAGGCATAAAGCGTCATTTTCATTTTATACAGTCTATAAAAAGTTAATTTTCTAACTCATATGAAAACTTACTTGAATTAATCTTAAAAACAATGATGTGCTGTAACTTGCAAATTTCTCTCAATATTCAATCTACGAGAAAAACGTGTATTTTCTATGTTCTGCTGCGAAGAAGCAATCATTAAATTCTAAAACGTCCCACCTCTAAAACTCATAGAAAACTTTACACTTCCCAACGTTAAATAAAACCACTACCTATTTCCCCTTCTCAAAGTGCACTTCTTGAAACGTTAACTTCAACTCTCTCACTCTAGTTCAACCTGGCATGGTAGTAAAAAAATTTTCAAGACACCATCTTATTTTTCTATTTGAGAGCATCGTGTCCCAAACGTACCGTAACGTAGACACCGCTGTTTATAATTAAACCAGTACTTTCATAAAAAAAAAAACAATTTTACTCGATAACAAAAGGAAATTCATAGACGGCATAACCAGCTACTCTGCTGCCGCAAGGAAATTCATAGACGGGCATGACCAGCTACTCTGCTGCCGCAAGGAAATTCCGTGACGTTTTTTAGCATTTTGTTTCTCGTATAATTTTCGAAGCCCGAGAAATCAAAGATTTAAAAAGTTTCAGATTAAAGAGAAAAGTGTGATACAAATTACAACAGAATACAAACACGTCTTGAAAGTTATTCGAAAGAGTACGTGTTTGTATTGTCATCGTAGTTTTTGAACAGAAGAATGTGTAAACTACAACAACATCTCAAAATCTTTAGCACACCTTTCTCTTTAATCTGAAACGTTTTAAATCTATGATCTTCTCAGGCTTCGAAAACTTTACACTGCGAAAAAAAGTGTCTTTTGGTGAAGTTTAGGGCACATGAAAATGCCCTGTTTTTTGTTTTCACGTTGAATGTGGCACACTTAGGACACTTTCATGTGCCCTAAACCTCACCAAAGGGCACTTTTTTTTCACAGTGTACGGGAAACAAAATGCTAAAAAAGGCCATGAAATTTCCCTCCGTTAGCAGAGTTAACTGGTCATGCCGTAAATACAGAAAGTAGATCGTATTTTTTTGTATTAAAAAATGATCGATAAAATTTCTAAGTTGAGTGGGAGAAAAGCATGAATCTTGAATCTTACCAAGTTTCAAGACGTTTCTTTGTCTATGTATCCCAGATACATCATTTAAATAGAGTAATGAGAGGGATAAACAGCTGTTTGAATAGTTAATAGATTAACATTTGATCAGTTACATAAAAATTTCTTACTAACTAAAAAACTGTTTTAATATTCAAGCGTATAATTGAACAGACTAGAAAATATTCGCTTGATGTTACATTACGTTAGGTTCATATTTAGACATACCATGATTAGTTAAGTAAAATATATCTATTGACCTTGTTCTGTTTGATTTCAGTACAATGGGTAGTCGTTTATATTAATAAAACGATACATATATGTCAGGTGTGCGATTGATACATTTAGTTATGGTTTTGAAACAGGATAAAATAGATTTCAATGTCGATCAAGCCATAAATAACAAGGTGTGTGTATATTCATATGCTTATAAAAGTTATTGTTTTTATTTTCTATATCTGCCTGTTAACTATATATTGCTATCGAAAAGGAGTTTGAACATTAAACATCGGTGGTGGTAGAGCATGAGATGGAGCATGAGATGGAGAAGAGGGATGAGAGCCACCAAAGAGATGCGATGCAACGCTCCTAACAGCACCATAATCGTGGTGTTGAGCAGGAGCTCCCATTACTTGTGTACCGAATGGTTGTCGATGTTGTAACGCATTCCAAACATGCTGAACAGCATTTACTCTATCAGTGTGAGATGGTGAATGACTACCATAAGGTTCTTCGTTCACTATACGACAAGAAGTCACTATTTCCCCGATAATGCGATGACGAGGAGGTGCATAATTTGGCCCATAACAGTACGCTGGACACGGGCCATGGGAACTGTGATGGTGTTGATCGTCATAATGATGTCCAGAATGATGTCCATGATGGTGTTCGAGATGATGTCCATGATGGTGTTCGGGATGATGTCCATGATGGTGTTCGAGATGATGTCCATGATGGTGTTCGGGATGATGTCCATGATGGTGTTCGGGATGATGTCCATGATGGTGTTCGAGATGATGTCCATAATGGTGTTCGGGATGATGTCCATGATAGTGTCCGTGATGATCATAATGATGTTGATAATGTGGGAGTAGGGAAATGCCGCTTTTTGACAAGGCCTTGTTTATTCCTTGAATCTCTTCAAGGTTTAGAGCAGCGGCCGATCTGGTTGGATAATCATGATGTGTATAAAGAGATCGATGGGAATTGTAGGGAACAACTTTTTCATATGAATAATCATCAAGTAACGAGACGTAACCTTTTCTTTTTATGTCACTCCCCGATATATCATGTCTCTGTAATAGGCTCGTTATACCACTATATTGATGGTCTCGAGACAAACATTCTCTCAGACAACTTTCAAATTGAGGCCAAGTACCCTTGCCAAGATATGACGCATGACCATTGCGATCGACTCTCTCAAAAATACTTTGAATGGCTCTTGTTGTCCTTGGTCTATTTTCATCAACTAAATATGGTGTTGTTCTTCCTCTAGAGGATGATATTGTTATTGGTAGCTGAGTCGTGTTTTGTGGTGATGTTAGCCGTTTTCCGTATGTATTTTGCTGTTGCTTTGCTACCCTTCCACCGGTATTTCTATTTGCATTTATACCTCGATTTGTTCCCGGTGATGGCGTAGATGAACTTGTTCCTGATTGGGACGTAGCCGTGGAAGCTGACGATGCATTCGTACGACCGTTAGACTTAGCAGGATTTTTTGTCCCTAAAAAAGGCAATTTTTAAAGTTTTTCATACGTCTATCATCATAATGAATTTCACAAGCAGAGGAAGTGATCGATTACAAATGCTTGGAAAACACAAACGACAAATAAAAGACGGCAGAAATTAGTCACATCTATAGTTTGAGAACCAAATTTGAGATGTATTGTGTTATACTCCTGAACACGAAGAATTCATACCTGTGGCACGTATATTTGGTGGCGAAAAACTATAATCAGTCTTTGACCGACTTGGGAAACGTTGTTGTGATGTCGTTGTAAATTGTTGATCTCGTTGTTGGCGGGATTTATCGCCAAGTCTGTCATCAGTCGTTGATCCTTCATTTGCTTCATCGTATCGCGGAATCTCTTCTTCGTCAATAGATGATTGTCGGTCAATTGGTTTTACATCTTTACTTGAACCTTTAGTAGAACCACGCTCAGACGCTAAACTGGCGGATATACGATCTTCACTTAGCATATTTCAACTTCAAAATCAGTTATGATTATCAAGTTAAACACTATTCATTTCTATGATGCGCATAAAAACGCTTCGGCTCTCTGATTTCATAAAAACCTAATTGTCTATGTAAAAGTCGAATTAAGAAAAGACCTTCATCAGAAAAAGAAAAAAATATGATTTTTATTCTTCAAAAACTTTTGTTTATTATTCGTATTTGTGTCTACATTAGAGGGCCAATATTGTTACTTTCTTCGTTTTATGTGAATGAAAAAAGATAAAAATGACCGTGAATTATATGCATCGGAGCGTACATTTTTTTCGATACTCTAACAGTGTATGCTGTCAAAAACTTGGAATAATATCCTTGTATAGAAACTTTGATTGCAAACAAATATCAGCTGAGTATGAGGCTACTAAGAAGGAGATAAAACCTTAGCATCAGTACCCCAGGGAGTCAATTAGAATGGATAATAATTTAGTTAGTAAGATGCTCTGATCATTTCATAAAGAGTTAGAGAATAGTATCACATAACTGTTGAACGTTTTAAGACATCTCTATCATTGAATAGTGAATTTTTAATTAAATTCTTTAAGACGTCTCTAAACGACACTAATTTCACCTGTATATGTAATAAGATTTGATCGACCAACTGTTATCAGTCCGCCTACCAGTTTTTTAATTCTATTTAATAGATTAACAAATTTCATGATGATTGATTGTATCATTGAAACAAGCAGTTTTATATGTATTTTCAAAAAAGCAGAAGAGAGAATCAAAACCTATTTTGTTATCGTCGAATTGCTCTGTAGTCAAAAACCTTCGGAAATCAATCTAGTATTTCGTATTATTTTGCCAGGAACTCTATAGGTAAAAGAACATACTAAAATTCACAATTTTAGGTCGAAATTATAAGAGCCAGCACATCAAGTTCAGTCAGTAGGCTTTTCAAGTTCTTTATTTCCATTGTTGCAGGACACCAAATCGAAACTTTTAAAAACTTTCGTCAAAATCGATTGCTGATTCGTCTTCTCCATAGCCGATTATCTCGTATGCGATAACCTTTGAATCGGGGTATTACAGAAAAAATTTGCTCATCATCTTACTCAAACATTTTCAAAAAAAGTCACTGCATCACTCAGGACCAGCGGCAAAACGATGTCGAAAAATTTTTCTGAAGTATCCCGATCCAAAAGTTAACACGTACGAAATAGTCGACTATGGAGAGGACAAATCGGCAATCGATTTTGATGGAAGAAGTTTTTAAAATTTTACGATCTGGTGATATGTCGATAATCTCACACACATTGAATTCAAAAATAATCGGTTGGAAGAAAAAAATACGGTGACGGTTAGTCACTATTTAATTAGTTTATTCTGGGGCATTAACAGCGTCTAACAAAAAAGGTTACCAGCTAGATGTTTGCAAAGAAATTCAGCAGTTTTGTAATATAATATAAACATGTATGTATCTAAAGACAAAAAATAATGTGCATATTCGAAAAAAATGCGTTCGTTCTTCACGTAATTTACAAGATTTTCTGATATTTCATCAATGATATTAGCAGATAGACATCAGACTATCATTCAGTATATAACATTACGTTACAGATGGTCGGCTCAGTCGCTCTTTTTAAACCATTTTAAAGCATACCGAGCTCAGAAGATCAAATAGGGGTAGTTTCATATTTTGTGTTCTAGCAGTACTAGATAGAATGTCTTTAGAAAATAAGTTTAAACAAAAGTAATAGCTTCATTTTAGATTTGAAATGGTTGATATCTACTGATTGTTTTATAAGAATTTAAAAACACTGTTTTTTTAACCGTTGCTGTTATTCTCCAACCAGGGAGGATACAATATCTTAAAGTCACAAGATTTACTCCATATCTACAGCTTTTTGAGTTCTATTAAATGGTCTAATCAGCTCATTTTCGAAACCTTTCGTTAAAAGAAAAATCATTGTTCACAGAGCAGATTTCCTTTGTGACAGCACCTCGATCAGGTTTCACATTATTTTTCGAAGAACGAAATATAAATTTTTATACAAATGGGCGCAGGCTACAGAAATAATATAATCTAAATAAAAATAAATGAGATTGATAGAAAGTAGAAGTTCCATAAAAATGAATACTACGTTATTCATCTCTGTTAATTATACAGGCCTCCGACTAGAAATTAGCGGATTACTTTTGAAAGTTCTCGTACAACAGCATAAATATTGATTCAAGTCAAACTTTTTCCTAATTTTCAAAGCTTCTTAAGAAACATTGAGCAAAAGCATTTTTTAAAGAGTAAACAAAATTAATTAAAAAACAATTGATGACAGGAAATGTTTACATTAAACATAAAAAATATACTCCTTAGAAAACAATTTCTTTGTATCAAAGTCTTGCATGTAGACTGTTTAATATACAAAAATAAAGGATAAAACGAAGTGTGCACTTGTATCATAAAAGGATTTAATCATCTCCCTCATCGTCTTCTAATTCTTCTTCATGTTCTTCTTCACCTTCCTCAGCCGCTTCTTCCTGACTTGCCTAAAATATACGAAATTGATGTATACCATGCATCGGGCTAGCGAAAACAAAGAGTGTTGGATGGAAAATGTTGAATATAAAAAATATAACGAATTGATTTTGCGATACAGAATTTTAAGAAAGCAGCGTTCAAGCACAAACAGTTGATCTAAATTTTTAACTTGTTAATTATTAATAACTTACTCTCGCTCGCGCTTCTTCTTCAGGCGATGGATCTTCTGTCTCACCAATATCAGGTCCATCTGTATATTCTGCAGCCGGTTCGGGTGGTACTGAAATATTTAAACATGGAAAAAATTTAATTAAAAAACAACTGATTGTAGTGATATTTTATCTTCGATAGAAAGAAAAAAACTTACATTGCGGTCCGTAATCGGTCATTGCATATTTATGACCCCAACCTACATACAAATTTTCCCAAATCCTTAAAAAGAAGCGATAGACCATAAATGGGCATAATTATTTCATAAAACCTACATTCCCCTCGCAAATGCATAAGCCCCTGGCCATAAATTACCTGAAAATAAAACATGATCATGATGAATGCTTGCTTCACTAAAGACGTCGTAATTACTCACTTCTTACAAATGCACATGCATACTGAGGTATGAGTGTTGATGATATTTTTGCCGTCCATGGCCGAATACCATCAATTTCTGTATCGGCACCGATTGGTGTCAGAAGTGGTGGCCCAGATTCCTAAAAAAGGGAGAGTAAATAAAAATTCGTTCTCAAGTCTCGCTATTTTTTCATCCTACCGGCTCGATTTCTTCGGATCCCTCAGCTAAAGTCAACATTAAGGATTACATTTAAGTTTATGCAAAATGCAAATAAAGATGATAGATATTACTGAAAATAACCTTTCATTTCCTCTTCTTCTTCTTCATTCTCTTCTCCTTTGTCAGAGTCTTGTTTTGGATTCCACCATTTCGTTCGACCTTGTGGTAATATATGTTGAACGTGATGTACCCAACCATTAAATTCCTCGTCAATCAGTTCGGACAGTGCGGCACCTGCAAAGTTAAGAATAAATATAGAAGCAACTTTTATTAATAAACTCAACAATCCACCTTTGAATTCTTCATTATCTTGATAATTTTCTCTTCCTATAAAGAAACAAGAGAAAATGTAAGAGTGTATTACTATATATAATGCAAAAAGAATTACACAGCAACCATTTTTCTAAAACCGTATTATATTTTTCACTCACCGCCCTCTTCTTCAGCTTCCTCTTCTTCATCATTAAATTTGAATCTCCCAGCAGGACTGACATGTGTTGTAGCACTGATACGCGCAAGTTGAGCTCGTAAATAATGTTTTTCTACTCCAGGATCTAAACTTAAAATAGATTTTGAAATATATATGCTTTACAAACATTGAAAAATTTACATGACGGATACGAATCTATTGTTCGATTCAAATCTCCAGTTAGAAATAATTTAATATTTCGAGCTTGTGATATTTGAGCGGGAGTCACTTGTGGTAATTTTACCCATTGCATACCAGCTGAAATGAAAATAATGAGTATACAAAAAAATGTACTATAGTATCACAAATATTGATCAGAGTTATACTCACGATGATTGCAAACATAATAAGATAATTTATTGACGCCGGTGCCTTTCTCTTCTTTTGGAACTTCTGGAGGCGGTTTAAACGTGGGTTTCGGTAGAGGATCTTCTTCCTGAATAGTGGCAAAAAAAACAACATCCATTTCATAATAGTTATAGCAGATGGAAAACTTAAAACCACTACAAACTTGTTCTTGTTCTTCGTCTTCAATTTCTTTGTCATCTTCGCTATCCTTTTGTTCTTCTTCGTCCTCTTCGTCGGCTGTATCATCATCTCCATGTTTCACCTTCCATCAAAAATGTATTTGTTGAAGGTTTGAATATTTAAAACACAACTCTATTAAAAGCGAGAATAATAATACCTCTGCAATATAATAATTTTTTTGAATTCCAAATATTTTGCCCCAGAATCGTACTTTTTCAAACTGATATTTGTCCACTAATTGTTTTAATGACAGCCAAATTCTAATAAAAACAATTATTTAAAGTAGAGACTACTTAAGGATTACTCTTAACATTTATAAACCTATATGTTTCTTCTCTTCCAAGACCAATCCCAGACTGCTCAAAATAATAGGCACATTCGAGTAGGTTTGGTAATGGTGATTGCAGTGCTTCATCGTCAAGTTCTTCTACATTATCACTTTTCTAAAAGCAAAAGGTTAACCACAATTAATTTCATCATATAATGTTTATATTCTAAGAAAACGTTTGAATGAATATGAATAAGGTTTGTGGTTTTTTACATCAAATAATGGCTTTTGTTCTTCGGCTAAAGTATGTTCACTATCAGGCGCTGCACGATCCCGTAATGTATCTTGTTGTGGACGAGATGCTTCGCTTTTTACATTTTTACTAATATCTTCAAATATATCTGCCGAATTGCGTGGTTGTTCGTTAAGCAATCGTGTTAAACAATGAGCAAGATGATCGTATCTAAGTAGAAAGAGTCACAGATAATGTGAAAGACGAGATTGTAAAAACGGAAATGCATCTAATTTTTTGAGAAAAAATAATTAGTATACGTACAAATTTGTCCCATCTTTGGTTGTCGCTGCAAGTATATAGGCTTTAGCATCGATAAATTGTTTTTCCGTATCACCAGCTGCAGGGGAAGATAAACTTTGGTTTCGAAAATTTGTTTGATCTGGAAACGATCAAATGCATTAATTAAAGCAGCTCTAACATATAATCACTCCTAAAATACCTGCTGAATTAGTCGAATTATACATAGTTGGCATCATTTTCGATCACAAACTGATATAGTTGAATTATGTGTCTAATAAAAGGAGGAAGAATCGCTTCAACCTATAACTTGTTACCATTTGCTATGATGATATAAACATGTTGCTAACCAACTCCCTCCAGTTCCTCCTTCAGTATCTGTCGCTGTGTTTCTCGAAAACACTAGCTGTTTTCTCATGGTACAATTCACAATTAAATCTGTGGCCTAACAGGAAAAGTAACAGCTAATAAAGTTTCATTACAGGGTAAATGTCGCTAAGAGACTGCAATATGGCGACAAGTATTGCATTTATATACAACGGTTCATATTATTGAATTTTAGATTATGGCCTGTTATGTAGACAAACAGAATAATGGACTACATCATTCAATTGTAGACTCGTGTTTCGAATAATCGAAACTGTCACCCACGGTTATGATCGTTATTAGGACTCTCAAACCGAAACGAACTGGATTAGTTTGGTTCAACGAGAGAAATAACTAAGTTTTTTGAGATTTCTTTGAATCGTTTGGCGTAATATTTCAATTTACGAACCTCAAGTACAGCAAAAAAGGACCTCCATTTTTATAAAAAACGTTTTGGTACTATTCACAATGCTCTCAATCCATAGAGATGGGTATTGATCTTGTGTTCAAACACTTTACCCACGCAGAGGGGCTAATAAATGTATCTGAGATGGATAATATCTCACCTATGTAGGTGGATCGGCATTAACATAAATGGATGACATATTACCCACGTCAGTCACATTCAGTAGCCCCTATGTGTGGGTAACGCATTTGAACAAAGAGAATCGAACACAGTGGATGTCAGTTTCAGTCATTTGGAATATGAATATTCACAACGTATCACTTTGTCGCTTTTGTCTCTTAAGGGCTTCCATCCTGTCAAAAAAAGTCTATTTTCGAGATAAAAGGCGGAATCCTGACTAAATTTTCGCAGAACCTAAGCTAGTCTAACTCAGATTAGATCATGCTAAATGTTTAAGCTTAAAAACTTTAGCTTTTCCAGAGTTATCTTAAAAATAGTGGTCAAAAAGTAAGTATTTCCATTAACAAGATTTCTTTTCTGTTTTAGGTGGTAACACTGCTGCTTGTTTGGAAATTTAACTTTCTGTAATTACAGAAAGGTGAATTTCCAAACAATTAGCAAGACGTTTTTTGAACTTTTATGATGAAACCTCTGGGAAAAATAAGTAGAGAAAATTTCGAAAATCTGACTCTATTAAGTCCTAGCCACACGTTTTCGCGTCATTTTAATATCAACCCGAGGTTTGTAACACTTCAAATAGAGGAGAAATCTAAGAAATGACAACACTTACTTTTCGAAAAAACGCTTTTGCGATAGTGCACTTTAGGGCTTGTAAGTAAACTGCTTGTAACTTTTTAATAGAAGGTCACATAGGGTTGTGTTATATCTCATTTTAACCAGAAAAGGTTGCTCCACAAATCTAGACGTTTAGAAAATAGTTTAATTGCATAAGTATCCTGCAAAAAGAATTTGAATAATTTATTTTTCGAGGTTTCTGAAAAATTTTCTAAAATCGTAAAACTTTGTCTCACGAGTAGAAACCGATAAAGATTCCGAAAGCCTGGTCTATCCAACTCTGTACAAAATCGACCTTTTTTACACAGAATTCCTTAGTACAATTTCATTATATTCCAATTGGTCACTGCCAGAACAACATCGTCAGTAGACAGATGTGGCCAGATTAGGCTATCATTTTTAGAATCAGTATTAAAAAATAGAATCTTTCATCAGCTGAACAGTGTGTAACTATTCTACTATAGACATTGATATAAAAGGTTTTTGCTAACGTTCAAAGTTGCTTGTAAAAATTATCCAATTTTCTTGAGATAATTAGTGAAATTAAACAAAATTTTATTAGTTGATGTCAACTGACGAATGTAATGTAATCTCATTTTTGCAGTTTTAAAAAATATTATTAAATTTGAATATCAGTTGAGAAGACACTTATCCTTTCCTTACCAATCATAGAGAAAGTGAATATGTTTTTGAAATAGAATGTCTTTGTCGCCTTTTCCATGTGTTATGTCCAATCTGTTCGCATTTTTTTTATCACCTTAGTTATATACATCGAAAATTGTCATTGTATAGCTACTATACAGCTGCATATATGTATATATAAAGTAAAACGATAAAGTTCTCTCTCCACCTACCTAATTAATATATAGGTGTGAAAATAATTTGTAAATACGATGGTTTGATCAAAGCCAATTGTTTGTCATTATGTCTAAATCAAGTTATTCACCTGCCTTGCTTGCCTTTACTTTTTGTGTAGATAATTAATAAGTATATTTTTGCCGACTCGATGAAATTGAGACATATATTTCATCTCGAACAATTCACAATTTTAAAAAGAAAGACATACCGATCCGAGAGAATAAGATGACTAACGATCATTCTTCTTTCTTTCTTGTTTTGTATACTATTCAAATCACCTTATCACATTGTTATCAATTAAAAAAAATCAAACAAGAGGATAATAGTTTAACACTTATTTTACGACGAGATTTTAATCCATAATTGTAGAAAAATCGTTCACACCAGTTTTTCAAAATTACACAATATCATTCATTACTTATGACCTTTTCTTTTTTTATTTCAAAAATTGCTCATTGACATATGATCATCTTCCAATATCTTACGCAAATTAAGTGAGTGTACAAATAGATAAACTCATCGTCTTTCACTTTCCTCATTGAATATGATTACAGTTATTTCATCAGTCGTTAATTCTTACTTATTCAAAATGAAGACAATGATTTTGAAATGTTTCTCTTGAATAAAGTTAAATATCAAGGGTTATGACAGTTAAGCGTGTTGATAAACGATTATATTGACTCTCTCTCTCTCTCTCTCGTTTTCTCTATTGTAGGTATATTTCTTTTTTTTAGCATAGAAATGAGATTATGATCCGCTTGCATAAAACGATATTTCATTCAGATCTTCTATCATTATACATTCAAAATCAGAATAATAATTGTTGTATATATCTATATATATAGCAAAGAACAATGTGTCAAAAATTAATAGCAAAAAAATAATGTAACTTTTAAAGTGTTTTCAAAAATAATAAGCTATTTGGTCATTACATATTAGATTATAACTCTCTCAAAAATCTTTTTATTTCTAATAAGATCAATGTTCAAAAGTGCAAAGAAAAGCTAAATTGATCTGTTAAAATATAATGTTAGACGATGACTATTGTTAATTCTATCCATCTATTTTTAAATGTATTTCAATATTCATTATTCATTATTATTTACGTGTGTCTATAATAAAGTTGAGTGTACATTATGCTTATTTTTTTTGATTATTTCAAGACTTTGATTTAATTTTCTCCAATAAATAATAATAGAGAACACTAAAAAGAAACATATTATTCGATAAACATACTCTGTTAACATATTTTTACTTCAATATTGAATCATTCTATTTCTTTTCATGTTCTTTTTTAATCGATTCTCTGATAGTGGTGCAATTGTTAAAGATCATGTCATGTGAATAACAAATATTAGATGAAATGAGTCAGTTGATCAATGAATGATGATGACAACAAAAGATGGCAGGCGGCATAACAAATTTTTGTTTTTTCGTCTTGAAAAAAATGACAATAAAAAAATAATTTTATATTTCGCTAATAGTGTGTACACATTAAAATTTCTTTTCACAACGCAATTACTTTGATGACTTTGCGTCTACTATATTTAACAAATTTAAATTTATCTTTTTAAAAATAAAACAATCATAATATATATCAATTGAAAAGGAGTACAACTTTTAAATTGCCAACATGCAAACATACCAATTCGATATTAGCATGCAAAACTGTGTACTATGTGCATGTTCTATTTTGAAGATAAGTATCAAAAAATCTGTTATATAACTCATTAAAAAAGAAAACATTTAAAAAAAGAAATTTACAATAACATACGGCACGCACAATATTTTACAGACATTGTTTAATATTTTAGTTTAACGGTAATAACATATTACTTTTTTTTTTAACGAAATATTTTTCTCTAATTTTAAATATGAATATAATTGTTCAATGAAAAATTTAAAATTTTTTAAATTTATAAACTCACATGTAATAACAGCTACAATTGTTTGCCAATTGGATGGATATACTATGTCATATTTTACTCTCGTCTACAATTACATCCAAATTAAGAAAGTAATAATAAATTAAAATTTGTAACAAGTATACTGTTGAACTTGTTGACTGCTACAACTTATCCATGTAACAAAGATTAGCACAAATAAACAAATTGACATCAGATTTTTTTTTTTTCTTTTTTTGTATGTAAATACATAGATCTATCTCACTTTCTCTCTACTCTTTGCCGTTGATGAACGCCGATTTCAATAGTATATTTCACTTTAATTTATACCGCCTAGATTTAACAGGATTTATAACTTGTTATTGTGTTGGTGATGAATAAAACTCAAAATTTGATATTGTAAATGTACCTTTTTGCCTTTAACAACGAAAGAAAAAAGAAAATGAATCTATTGTGATAAGCGTATCTTCGCATGTTGTTCTTATTAAAATATTGGAAAGACAATTGACAATTGAGAGACAAAATAAATCCATTTTAATCAAATATAAATCACATTGAATCATTAACAATTATACAATACATTATTGTCAGTTCAAATCTATTCGCTCTTGCAACTAACCAATCACTCATTTATCCTGCAACAGCATTACATATACATTTATCGATATTGCTATTGATCAATTTTATATGTTTTCTGGTTTTATTTTGTCTTTGTAGCAAAATGTAATGAATTTGTAATTATTGTCAAGTTAATTTGATGTGAAAACAGCAGAAAAATCGTCTCTTATGTACATACTATATCATATAACATTATATCTATGTATATTTAATTCTGATTTGTGGTAGAGAGATCGAATACGTGTCAAGAATCGTTGACTAGAGGATAAAAAATTTGTTGCAAAAATTTCCA